CACTTGGTCCACCATCAGTCCGTCCTCGTCTTCGAACCACACCCAAAATTCAGTTTGACCTGCGCACATGGATTTGATCAACCCCTTCGACGCTCTTCATTTTGTTTTGCATGGCAACCCTTGGAAACGAAGTTGAATCAGATTTTCGGAATGCAAAACATTGAAAATACCGTTTTTCGGAACACGCTTTTTTCGGAAAAGCACAGTCGAAAATCATTCCGAAATTCGGAATGCAAAACCTCTCTATTATGGATACGAGTTAAGAGTAACTCTCCATCACTGTAACATGATACTTTATACACTCAGAAAGTGCAATAACTAGGCACAAAACTGACAGAGTACTGAGACATTCGAAGTCCGCAAAATTTCACCAAGAAAGTCATAGAAGCCGCGGCTTTTAAACAAGACTATACGGTATTCTCTCCTCCCTCTTCTGAATTTGACTCTCCGCTGGCCTTCACTCCTCCCTTCCCCTTACATTGTATTGGGCCTCCGAAAAAATTCCCCTGTTTTTTTGCACAGAACCATCATAATACATTGGCAGTATATGTGAGCATAATGCGGAATAATTATGATAACTTTATTAGTGCAATAAAGAGTATAGTACATGGTCAGACAACAACGAGTTCATGGAATTTTAAAGGATTTTTTATGTTATTCAAAATCGATTTTCGTGTTCCGCTCATCAGTGAATAGTATCGGAACTGAGGGTACTGTGTACAAAAAAGAACATTTTATAACAGCATAATTAAAAGTGTGAACAAAAAAGTGCTACAGCATTACATAATAGGTGTCAAACATAGTGCTAAAATATATAACTGAGTGCAGGCACAAAGCATGAGGTGATACAGTGCAACATGACATGAAATTTTGATAACCAGCTACGAGAACAACTTTAGCGCGACTACATGCTTTTTTGTTTACAAAGAACAGGATTATGTACACGAATACATACAGCTTCCAGAACCTTAAACTGCTTAACATAACTTGCACGGCACAAAACAGAAAAGTGAGAATCATCGTACACGCTAAGACAATCTGGACGTGATAACAAGTGACAAAATACAGCTGACTTTTTGCTCACGTCGCTCTCTTCCGTCTCATCCCGCTCCTTTCCTTCAACCTCCTCCGCCTCATCCTCGTCCTCCGTCTCATCTTCATCATCATCGTCCTCATCACCACCCTCATCATCATCAGTCACTTCCTTATCATCCGTCTGATGCTCAGTCTCACTGCACTCCTTATCAGCCACCAACATGGCTCCATCATCTCCACCAGCATCACAAGTCGTTTGACCGCTGCTCCGCGTCATCGTTGCTGGGTTCTCTGCTACTAAACACCCATTTCCACTGTCCATTTTGCGTGGGCCAAGTCCATTCCGTGCATAAATTTCAAGTGAATAGTTAGCTGTGCTTCTTCTGGGTCTATGGGTAAGGATATTGGTTTCATTTTGGTTTGTTGATGACCTCCCTCTCTGTCCAGACACAGTCGGCACCGTGGATCCCAGCACCGGGGGGACCACCGTCTCGGTAGTCACCAAAGATAAAGTGGGTGGCTCAGGCGGAGGCAAGGGCAACTGCCGCGGTGAGGGTTCAGTGTCTCTCGGTGGCCCCTCCTCCATTCCAGGACGATGTTGTTGTGCTAGAGTAGGCTCCGCTGCTGTTCGCCGTGGGTCGAGAAGTGGTGGCCAGGTCACTGATGGCAAACCCAACCCAGCTCCATCCACCTACGGCACCGCAGGTGGTGGGGCGGGTGGTGGCACAGGAACAGGCGGCGCTGTCGGCACAGCGTGTTTGTCTACTGGGCTAATTGTAGCACTTTTTTGTTCACACTTTTAATTATGCTGTTATAAAATGTTCTTTTTTGTACACAGTACCCTCAGTTCTGATACTATTCACTGATGAGTGGAACACGAAAATCGATTTTGAATAACATAAAAATCCTTTAAAATTCCATGAACTCGTTGTTGTCTGGCCATGTCTGCGTCTATTATACTCTTTATTGCACTAATAAAATTGCTTTCTCCACGCCGACTCTTTAAATATGATAACTTTTAGCATAAAAATAGCATAATTCTGCAATTTTTCAGGGAATGCGAAAAGCATAATTTCACGAAAATATTAGTATAATCCGTCAAGGCCTACCGCCATGCTCTTAAATATCGGGACTAAAATAGTTGACTGAAGTCGCCTTCCGGGACGAGAGATGGACAAGGTCATGGTAAACTTGTCCTGGGGTAAATCTGGGTAACTTAATTAAAACAGGTTAATGGTTGGACTACAGGGTTAGCAAAAGTTGCTGCGGTGCTGTTGGCTGATGTTGGTGCGGTACACTGTGTTTCAAAATGCCGAGCAAGTAAGTCCGCTTTCTGGAGTGCTGTTGATGCTTGGATGCTTGGGTCGCTGGGGTTCGTCAGATCGGGTACATTCGGGGCATCTGATGAAAGATTGCAGAACTGCTTTGCCTTTTTCCACCAAGCAAAACTCCCTCATTTACAATTGCTGGAGATGTTCGCAGCATCCTGCTCTAGAGTAATTCTCCTGGATTCCCTAGGCTTGTTCTTGTAGATGTTTCGAGCTATGCAGTAAGCTGACTTAGCCACAGTGCATTGCGGATCCTGCAGGTACGCTTTGTGGAGTCGGTTTTGCCTCCGCTTTAAACTTGTGTAGCTCAGGCGTGTACCATACTGTTTCCTTCTTCCGGGGTGGGTGAAGGTACCAGGAAGAGGATCTATCTATGAGACTCTGCATGTGCGTATCCCAAGCTTTCCACGCCATTTCAACATCGTCAGAGCTGTTGTGTCCTGATCGGACTCTGAACTGATTTATTGTTTTAATGCTTGACCTTATTATATTGATGATAAGCTGAACACAATGCAAGATGATTTCTAACTCAAAAAAATCAATGTTCTAATCTCGCACTCAATGTGTGACTCTGTATGTGTTATGATGTAATATCACGTGATATCACATCAAGAGCCAGTAATTCGTTCGAGAAATGGCTCCTTCTCTACGAGGTGCCGAAGGCGGGCGTAATCCGTTTTCCGGCGCTGTTGGGGTGCTTGGTGAGAAGTAGGTATCTGAAGAGCTAGTGTAGCGACCACTGGGCAATGGTCAGACAATGGAGCAAGGGTATGTGTGGAGAGGGAAATATCTGGCACATTAGATGCCATGATGTCAAGCAAGGGGTTGTTGGCAGAACGCAAGTTTGGTCGTGTACCAACTTGTCGATTGATTACAGTGAAACCATAGTTCATGAAGGACGACTGAAGCTCCCTGCCATTATGGTCTGTAGCGTCTGAGTCTTTCCATGCGGAATGTTTGGCGTTGAAGTCTCCAGTGATGATAAAATCATGATTATCAAAAAGATCAGAGAGTTGATCAAACATGGAAGTGATTGATGTCATCGTTTGCCTAGGAGGCCTATACCAAACTGACACAAAGAATGTTCGAGTCCTATGCTTGACCTCCACATTGATCATTTCTTCGTCAATTGAAGAGGAGGTAGGGTGCAGGTCACTGTTTAAGCTTTCATGCACGAACATTGTTACGCCACCTCTGCCCAGCAGAGACCATGGTAGGGAGGTGCTGCTTCTGTATTTACGATATAATATTATCTTGTACCCAGGCATAGCTAGACATTCATCCGGAATGGAAGGATTTAGCCACGTTTCGTTTACACATAAGATGTCTATGCTCCCACTATGCAATTTTTTGTCTTTGCCTGTGAGCTGTGATCATTGTAAAAAAAAAAAAAAATGTCAAGAGCTTCCTCACTAAGTATAGTCTGTATGTAGCATAGCTTGCTGAGAAGACTACGACAGTTGACCAGGCCAAGTAAGTTTGAGAAGTTTGGGTGTCAATAGTAAAAAAATAAATAAAAAAAGGAGGTCCCCGCAGTTCCTATGCACTACTGTTTGAAGCAGGATTAGTTGTCTGGAGAGAGCTTGTTTGGCTTGACACTCGATTTGCCGGACCCTGGGCCTGGGTCAGTCGAATCAGCTCGTCCTCTGGAATGGGCTGCCCATGTATGTAACATCAGATTCTGTAACGACGTTAAGCATGACCATTTTTACTGAGTCGCGAGGTCCCAACTCAGTGACTGTACAATGCAATTACAGTCGACCTACCCGTATAACGATATTTGTGTCAGACCAAGAAATATTGTTATAAGGGTAATATTGTTATAAGGGTAACTGGTTCATTTCATACACGTACATCATAATGCATGTACATGTACTTCCCCAAGTCCACCACCAAGACCAGGTAGATCTACCGGTACTTTACAGTGTGTAGCTACACTACTATTGGCTACTGTACAAGTACCAATTTTCGTTTGGAATTACCTTTCGCTATATTCGTTAGGGGGGCACGAAAAACTAAAGTAACACGTTAGTTTGTTTTCTGAACGTTGGGGGTGACAGACCTCGACCAAAAACGAAATTTAGTACATAACAAGCCTGCTGGTGGAGTGATCTAACGAACGATATCTTGAACGAAAATTTGTACTTCTAGTTCTACAGTAGTTAGCTACATACATGACATGTACAATGTACAATGTAGATGTTACAACAACTATGTATCTCACTACTCATTACTAGTATTACTCGGCATTAGTCAATTATTTCTCTCCGCGCAAATCACACCTGCAGCAGGCTGTAGTCTGGTATTCTGTACCAGGTAGTGTCTCGCAGCCATTCAGCGCCGTCTGCGCTCGCGCGCTGTGCTAAACTGACACTTACTGCGACCATGGTGACTCAGTGCCCGCGCGAAGACTGCGATGACTGTCTTTAGCTCGAATGATTATGTGGATGTCCACAACACCTACCTACCATGATGTAGACCATTGTAGACCAGGGAGTCGTAAAATAGTATTTTACGACCCCCTGTTGTAGACCTACCAGTGCAGTGCATGCAGTCACCATCTGTCACAGCACCAGTGGCAGTGTGTAGTGGACCGGGACGGAGGAAGGTTTGACTTTGAGGTTCAGGCCATCAGGGCGAGCGACGGGTCGACCTTCTGCCAAAACTGGATGACAGCGTCCCTGCAGAGCAAGTCGACGTCGTTACTTGAAAGGCTGACCGCGTGTGGCTCTGGTAACATCGACGTTTCAATGAACTAGAGGACCGTGTTGAATTAGTCATCGACGTTTCTTTCCTGGCGAATACCGTTATGCCCGGCACTGGCGCGCGCTAGACGAACGAAGTAATTATTAGTTCAGTTGGCAACTCCAACGACCGAGTAAAAATTGCTGCCGCCAACGTTCTCCAATACGGTCAGGAAGTTGTGAATGGAGCCCCAGCGTGAGCCACCGGCGACGGCAGAGGAGCGCAGGCGAAACATAGACAACGTCCTGTTGCTGTTTCTGGAGACCAACCTGCTGCCACCTATGCCTTCTTTGCCACAAGAGGTTGGTGGAATATGCCATTGTTTGCCATTTTCTCCTCTTCTTGTTGCCTGTTTTCTGCTCCCAATGTTGCGTATGTTTCTCGTCTGAAAATTCGCTTTTGAAACATTTTCGTGGTTGAAGAAAGTGTATTTTTTGTTCACGGTCATTATTCGCTCGTCGTAGATCTACGCTCGACCTACCTTAGCTGGTAGATACGAGTGATGCACCAACGCCCAGAGGAGCTAAGCAATGCACCGATAACATAATTATTTTCGCTAGAGACCTCGACACAAGGTTCATGCGAATACTGTCTCTGCCTCTCCGCTCGCTGTGTTATAGTGTTGTTGGAGTTGGGAGAGGAAAGGAGGCGTGGTACTCTTTTAGACCAGCTCAATGAGCTATCGCAGCTGAACGAATATGCTGACCTATGGCTTGAAAGTGCTACGTCACAGCATAGCAACAATTTCAAAAATTCAAAAACTGGATCCACTTGGATCCAGTTTTTGTATGGATCCAAGCACATTTCAAGCGGTCTTACCCACAGCATGGTGATGTAGCCAGTGAAACTGACTGATTTGGCTACTGGGGGCGGGGTTACAACTGGTGGCGAAATAAAGGTCACACCTGCATGCGACATGAGTGGGTTGCTATGCACCCACATACTTAGGCAATAGCAAAGTCACACCTTAGTGGATCCAAAAATAGAAATCTGATGTCAACTTACTACTCCCTGGCCATTTTGACGTCATCACTTTCAAGCCCTATTGCGCTGCCCCTTTCCTAGGCTACGCTATGGTTCGACCTTTCACGAGTATTAGTAGGCGTTGCATGCTACCACAGCTCAGAGTCAGAACTTGGGTCTTGGGTTGAAAAGTACAATCTGACCGCATCCGCAAAGCAGTGCAGCGCTGACTCGCCAGTGTCGAGTTCGCTTTTGTAGGGCTTGGGCCGTCCATGTTCGTTGCTACTTTGTTCATGTGGTTGAATTTCCGAAAATGGTGTGGGGTCCTAGTATCGCGTGATCTGACACCTGCCATTATAAGAACTAGTGATGGCTGTGTTGACATAAGACAAGAAGTAGGACGGCTACAGTGTACATGTATGTCTAGCACATGATACCATGTATTTATACTAATTACTAGGGCTAACTCGCGGAGGGAGTTGTGGTTGCTCATGACAGTGCTCGATACACCAAGGTGCAGAGCCTAGTACACACACTTGGAAAAAATCGACGGGTTCGCGTACCGGGCAGGTCAAGAACAAGGAGTCGTACAACTCCCTGGTCAAGAACCACCTTTCCGCTTCCGTGGGACGCCACCACCCCATGATCAGGCGTCAGATGCGGCTCCTAAACGGTGGGGGAGGATAGATCAGATCCACCAACACACACTTGAGAGGAATCAAAACGCGTTTCTGATGTAGCTCTGAGTTTCATGGTTTTAACCGATCATCAGACAACAACTTGACTACAATTTTCAGAAGATATGACTGATATAGGCTGCAAGCTTGGATCATAGCGCGAATGAATGATCTGGGCTGAGAATGTAATTATGAAAATGTAATTTAAACTCTGATACTGAGCCAGTAATAAAATGTAAAAAAGAGAAGAAACACATGAGAACTGACCGTTTATCATCTCGTTACAGTCGTGGATAGTTGCTGCATAACTCGTTCTCATGAAAATGTAATTATGAAAATGATTGCGTTAGTTGGGTGATGGGGTGGAAAAATAGGCGCAAAAATACACTTTAGGCCTTGGCTCATGCAACCACATGTTCTTCTGAGGGAGGCAAGAAGAAACACAGTGGGGCAATTATGAGCAGCACCTCGCCTGCGAGTAGTGTGTGTACTAGGGCTTAAACGGTCACAACTTTTGCATGACCGGGTACCCTCTAAAGTACCGGGCAGATAACCGGTTATAACCGGTTACAGTCAGACCTCGCTTACCCGGATCCCTCGCCATCAGGAAGAAAATTGTTCGTCACCGATTTACGGTATATGCTATGCACACATACGGTATGTGGGCTGAGACCTCTACAACAGGGTTTTACGCCTGAAAACACGCGCACGAATTAACAAGCAGGTTGTTAGAGAGACAGACAGGCATATAATGGCGATAGTGATCCGTCTGACCTCAAAGGTTCATGCTGTGTGGAACAGCAGTAGTGCGAAATTGGGCCGGGTGCGGTATGGCCCGTACCTCGCCGGGCAACGCATTCCAGAGCCTAGCTCCTTGGAACGCGAGACAACCCTTTCCCAACTCAGTGCGGGTTGGCGGTGGTCTTAGACCCATAGATGATTGGAGCCGATTAGGAGCGCCACTGATTGGTGGCAACAGTACTTGCGGTGTAGAGCTAGCATGGGAGTAGCGGCAGTGCCGAACCAGGGAGATGAGCTTCTGGATGAAGATCTCCCGGACACGGTAGGCGCCGAGTTGTACAAGCAGGTTTCTGGCAGAGGTGCGTGGCGAGCATCCGTACACAGCTCGAGCCGCACGATTCTGCAGAACTTGGAGATGGTCCAGGTGCTTACCCGCCAACAATGCTGAGAATGCATTGGAGCCATACGAGAAATCGGGCATGATTACAGACTTGAAGTATTGGATGCGGCTTTGCATGCTGAGACAGCGGCGCATCCGCCACGGAACACCAACTTTCTTGTTGAATCGGGCAACGCACCTATCCATCTGGGTGTTCCAAGACATGGTGATGTCATTGTGCACTCCGAGGTAGCGAGCAGAAGAGACAGACGGCAGCTTAGTCGCATGACACCATTATATCCAGTTCCGTTCGCGCTTCTAGCTGCCCAGCCGGTACAACCAATGCCTGACTTTTTGATGCATTGAGAATCAAACCCCGCTGCTTCAGCCAATCAGCAATGCATGTCACTGCTCTGGAGAGAATGGCGGTCAGTCCTGTTGTGTTGTCGACTGCAGGTCAGTGCAATGTCCTCTGCGAACTGGATGGACTCAGCTTGCTGGGCAACAGATGGTATGTCCCGGGTGTAAAGGCTGAACAATAGTGGATCTAACACCGACCCCTGTGGTACTCCACATGAGCAGTCTGCCACTGTGCTAAGCTGGGATCCCAGTCTGGCAGTGATGTCACAAGTATGACATGAGCCACTGGAGTGCTGTTCCAGTGACGCCCACACAGAAGAAATCTTCGACTAGTTGCTGGTGGCGAACCTTGTCGAATGCCTTCGACATATCCAGGAGGACCACACCCGTGAACATGCGGCGATCTCTTGAGGCCAGGATCCGGTTGACCATCAACACAAGGGTATCCTCAGTGGAATGTCCTGTCCGGAATGTAGACTGTATGCTGGGCAGAGAACCAGCCATATCCAAGAAAGGTGACAAATGCCTTCTGCACCACCTTCTCGAGCAGCTTCGAGAGAATTGGGAGCAGGGACACAGGACGGATCACCAGCCTTGTGCCTCTAAGGATGTGAAGAGAAAGTTGCATCGTCTGTTGAGTTTTCGGAGGGGACGAAGTCATTTGAGTCGGGATTTTCAACCTGAATTTTTAGTTTGCACTGCTTTTTCTTTGGCTCCTTGATCTACTTCAGGCTCGAGGTGTACGCTGCACGGTCTCTGCAGCCAGATGAGGGAGGTTTGACTCTTAACCCTTTCACATACAGTAAAACCTGTGACTACCGACCACCCCTTGGTGCCAGCAAAAGCGGTCTTTAGTAGCAGGTGGTCTTTAGTTAGAGGTTTGCACCGTGTGACCATATATGGATCCCATTATATGATATGTATGTCAAAATGCAGCTAATACAATTCCCCAGGACTTGCGCAATGCCATTCTTATTTCAGGTCAAACAACACTTGGAGAGAAAGACGGAGAGATGGATAGAGACAGAGAGAGAAGATTATTTTTTTGTAGACTTCAAATTCAGCTGCTACTTCTGAAGCCAGGAGTCAAACGTTCCCTGGGGAAGTTTGGTTTTGCGCTGGGCTTCAAATTTGTTCATGCGTTCAATCGTACCGACTGCCCTTGTTTTGACTCCTCGATTGCTTGAACGCGATCCTTCAGCATCAGGACCTTGCGGTGCTGCTTTGTTTCTGGATTCCTTGATGCCATCGTCGATCCGTCTGTATGACTGGGGTGACAGAGCCGTCCAGTCTTCGTTTCTCCTCCGAGTAGTAACATCGATCACAGAGCGCTTTCGATGCGCTCTCCAAGACGTTTCCTATCATGTTTATTCTTGACAGGGCTTGACATTTTGACAGGTGTAGTGCAGTCCACACCGACTCCACGGTCAAAATTACCTGCGTTCATTTGTTCAGCTGTAGTATCGAAAGATTCCTTTCAGGACCATGGAAAATCTGCAAAATTTCAAGAAGGAGCTTCGAGCAACATTTGATTTCCCACATCGCGGTCGCTAGTTACGGGTCAAAAATCGTCTTTGGGACAAGAAAAGGCGGTCGCTGGTCGCGTTCAGCAGGTAGTCGCTAGTCACAGTGCATTTTGAATGTGAGACCTTCCGTGCCTGGCGAAGTGGTCGGTAGTACCAGGCTGGTCGCTAGTCACAGTATTATTATTATTATGAACAGTTTCGCGTACTTGAGGACCAGCCTCTTTCCGCCTCTGTGTTCCTGAGCAATAGAAGGAGAGAGACAAAACTATACTATTATGATGATGACAAGGGAAGACATGGACTGCAAGGTACGGTTTACAAATCGACAATAAGCAAATAGCACTGAGAAGGATGGGCAACTTCTGTTTCGTCAGTGTTCACTGTGCGTTTTTTACGAAGGCCTTCCACACTTGCCTGTCGGATGCCTTCTGCCGGAGGCTCTGCAGATGCGGGCTCCTCTTGAGTGGCGTTTGTCTGTGGACGCAGTCTTGCTGGATCTGGGTGACTAAAGTAGTCAGAGGTCTTCCTGGCTTGGCTGTGTTCGGTGGATTGAAGTAGAGTGCCATGGCTTGTTGCGGTGGTGTGTCTTCGGGTAGGCGTAGGACATGTCCCAGCATGGTCATTCTTCGTCTGTGGGCTTCCTCGGAGATGGGCTGGCTCTGACATCTCCGGTATAACTCGATGTTTATGATACGATTGGGGTAATGTATGCCCAGTAGCGAGCGAAGCTGTTGCCTGTGGAACACGTCCAGCTTGTCACTGACTGCCTTTGTTGATCCCCACGTACAGCAATTGTACAATAGGGTCGGCAGAACATATGCGTTGTAGAGGCGAACTCTGCGAGCTTCTGAGACATGCTCCCTCCGCAGCCACAGAGTGTACATGTTCTTGAAGGCAATCGTTGCCCGCTGCTTTCGCCTTTGGATGTCTTCGTTAGTTGCCATGAGTGATCCCAGCTGCTTTACTGTTTTCCAATTTTCTGTTGTTGACGATACTGTGACCCATTCCGTCTTCTGGGTGTTTACGTACAGCGACCAGGATTCAAGGACCTTCGCAATGATCGGCAGTGCAGCTCGCAACCAGTCTAGACTTGTGCTGTAGTAGTTGACATCGTCAGCATACCTGCTCTCATGGGGTAGTAGTCTATCGCTTTCTGGACGGGGTGGCAGATGGGACAGGACATCCCTCAGGGCCGCTTCGAGATAACAGGTGAACAGGACTGGGCTTAGGCCATCGCCCTGTGGTGTTCCAACTGTGTTACTGAACGACTCTGAGGTCGCCTGTCCAACACGGACCACGAGGGTAGTTCTCTCCAGGAGCAGTCGCAAGTGTTTGCGTTCGTCTGGGCCAACTACTCCATCCATCACTTCCAATAGCCGCTGCCTGTTGATAGTGTCAAAAGCGCGACTCATGTCGATTCCCAGCATGTGGTAGGTGAATGGATGCCTCTGTGTCTTAGCACTCATCCAACGCTGTGTCCATACGACGTCTGCCGTGCTCCTGCCTCTTCTGAAACCTGATTGTATCGCGCCAAGGTGTCCATCGACGGCTGGGGCTATTCTTTTGAGTACAACCAGAGATAGAGCTTTTCTGATGGTATTGAGGAGAACAACTGGTCTTAGGCTTGTTACTGGACCTCTGGGTTTTCCTGGCTTTGCTAGTGGTACTAATATGCCAGCTCCAATGACTTGCGATATGTCTTGGTTATTGGTAACAGCTGTGTTTATGAGTCCGACGATCAAGGGTGACAAGTATCCTTTTCCATATTTCAGCAGCTCCGCTGGCACTCCGTCAGGTCCTGCAGCTTTCTGGTTGTTCATTCTTGACAGTGCAGCTTCCATTTCATGTACTGCTACTGGGTTTGACAGTGGCGTCGCCAAGCCTTCCGGTGTCGTCACATGGTTTGTTGGTGTGGGATTGCACAACAGTGTGCTGAAGTGGTCACGAATGCGGTCAGCTCTGTCGACGTCTCGATCAAGGACTAATCCGTCCACAGACTCCACAATGATTTTCTTTTGCTTTTCTCTGCGGAAGACTGTTGCTTGGTACATTTTGATGCTGTCGGGAGCGCGCTCAATAGCTTCTGCTGCTCTATCCAGCTGGGAGTTGGCGTTGTCCAAGCACCTGCGTCGTATTTGGTGGGAAATCCTGTTCCTCTCTTCTCTAGCTCTGCGTTTGCCTTCATCGTCCAAACCGCCGTCCTCCAACCGTAGACGCAGTAGTCTCTGCTGCATCGACAACCGTTGGATCTGTGGGTCTGGATTGACGAGTCCCCGACGCGTTTTCACCATTGTTCCAAGAACGGATTTTGCCTTTTCCTTCACTATTTCTGTGACTGTTTGCCACGCCACCGAGAGGTCTGCTGTGTTCGCTGCGACTCGCTCCATGCAGTCACTCGCACTCAGTGCGTCCACATACTGCCGCCTCACGGTGCTGTCATGCAGTCTCCCTATGGCAACGGGTGGTTCCTGCTTCTTCGACGCTCTGAACACTTTGAAGAATGAATCGAGTCGGAGATCGCTGATCACAAGTTTGTGATCACTACACACCATGGTGCCACCATATGAGCGTGCTCGTCGGACAAGGGATTTGCAATGTTCCGGTACGATGATGTAGTCAATCATATTGTAGATAGGCTTAGTGCACGGTCCGTCTCTGACATATCCAGTCCACGTCGTTCTGTAGCGCTGTGAATAGCGAAAGAGTGTGTTCGCCAGCACCAGACTCCTGGACGTCGCCCATTGAACCAGGGCCTCGCCATTTTCGTTCCGTTTGCCCTTAGCGTACTGACCAACACAGGGTGCCGTCCCATTTCCAACTTTACTGTTGAAGTCACCTGCGTACAGAACAATGGCTCGTTTCTTCACGCTGGTCCATGCACTCGACAGACTATCGTAAAATTGGTCCCGGATGTCTGGGTTTTTCTCCGCGAGAGGGGTTGTTGGGCCGTATGCAGAAATGATACGCACATCGAGAGTGTCGCGACCGTGGGCCCGAGGGAACTTGAAGTCCGCGAAGCCGACTCTGTCTGTTAACTTCTTATGATGTAGCAGGAATGGTTCGATTCTTGGAGAGTAGTGTTGAAACGATCTCACCGGATACTCGTTAGCTCGCTCGCCAGAAACTCGGCTCGTTTGTGCGGCCAGCTCGTTTGCACTAACGAACACCGTACTCCGTACACATGGCAGTACATGTCGACCGGGGAGTCGTAAAATATTTTACGACTCCCTGGTCGATCGAGAGTCCAGTCCCGCGCAAAGTGAAAATCACTCGCAGTTACAGGTGACTGTATGCCTGCACGACACTTGAGTTGTTTCAGTTGTCGTTGCAGCTTTGGTGGACTCTACTGATGTCTTGTTCCGCATCTGCTGACCTGTCGCAGGATATGCTTCGGTCACCTCTCCATTCGAGTGAAAGTTACGCTCAGTCGTTTGGAAGTTTTCTCCCGCGATGCAGCGAAGACCAGGGCTACTTGCAATCTTTGCAAAACGGTCTATTCTTACAAAGGCTAATCGACGACGGCACTGAAAAGACATCTCGACACCAAACAGCAGTCCGAAGTGAAGCAGCAGCAACCCCAAATACCGGCGGTGATAATTCATGTAATTTGAACCAGCTGAAAAAAATCGAACTCAGAAAAAATATTCAAAAAAATAATCATATTTGCCACATCAATGAAACCAAGAGTCCATATGGACTCTTGATGAAACTCGTTAGCTCGCTCGATAGCTTGCTCGTTAGTGGAACTGATCGCTCGTTTGTTATAGATACGCTCGTTTCAACACTATTGGAGAGATAACGAATCCAAGGCCGCCATGCTTTCCAGATTCTTGACCGAAGCTGATCAAGCGGAAAGTTTTTTGGCCCGCGTGTATTTTCCTGTCGAATGCTTCGGTGGTCTTGAGCTCTTGAAGGCTGCAGAAGTCTACGCCATAGGCATCCATGTCAGTCGCCAGTTGCTGCTGCTTCACGTTCGACGTTAGGCCTCGAACATTGAACGTCGCTAATTTGAACAAATTCAATAACGATAAATTACGGCTGCTCGCCATATCCGCTGCTCAAGAACGTTGACAAGAGGAGAAAAGGAGAGAGAAGAGAAGAGAAGAGAGGACAGGGAGAGACTAGAAAGGAAAAGAAGTGGAGAAAGAGGGTAACTAGTAGAGAGGAAGAGAGGAAGAGTGGAGGAGAGGAGAGGAAAAAAATTGCGTGGCAGTCAGCCAAGCACCAAGAGCTAGTCACAGTGGTCTGTAGTTACAGGTTTTACTGTATATTATTTGGGCTGTTTTCACGTGTTTTGGACATATCCACAGAAAATGACCCAGAACATGAAAACTGGCCACAATCATGATAACAACACCCATATTGTTCTGAAACCTGATGCCCTTGACTAAACTTTGCAATAAACGACATGCGCATACTGTGTAGCACTGTTGCCTAGCAACCATTACCAAATATGGAAAACGCGGTATTTTGATGATTTCATTGGAATACAATGACAGTATCTCACATATACCATAGGAATGTATGCTGTCATCAAGTTGCCATATTATTGTTTTGGTGCCAGCAGTTTTTCTGCGACGAACAGGTAAGATATGAGAACATGGCATGTATGCGGCGAACCTAATACACGGACATATACATGCACTATAATACTCAATCTACAAACATACATTTATATGTTGTCTTGACATTGATGTGTTACCCAACTTTGTACAGGCGCAATGATTTCAACAGGGTAGAAAGCAATGATATTGCCTATATTACTCTCTGCATTTCACTCATACACAGATATGTACAGTAAGCGTTGTATGTAGGCCGTTTACACAGACTGCACTCATCGTCTGAAGGGTGCATACTATTGATAGCGGTAGCCGGCGAACTCTGGAGAATGGTAGCGCTCAAAGCAGGTGGTTCCCTCCTGAACACACATTGGCACTGGAGCATCATTGTAGCTGCAGCCTTTGCAGAGAAAGCGTGTTTCCGCTCGATGCCGAACTTACGATAACAGACAACACAGTTGCGACGTTTGTTTCGCTTGACATACATTGGCACGTGCTGGTCGGTTCGGACGTACTTCCTCTTCCTGCCGCGTTTGTGCTCGGGTGGTTCACCAAACTCTGGAAACCCTGCAATTGACCTGAGGAGGGCCAGTGCAGATGCTCATAATGGGCAGGACGAAGGATGGTCTCCGGATGCGCAGCTCTGTACTCTTGAAAGAGTACGTACGCGTTGACACAAGCCACATCGACCATGTCCAAGAACACGCAACGCCACCACTTCTTCGACCTCCGAAGGACACGATAGGCTGCCATGTGGGCATCAAATTTGTCCACACCACCCATTGCCTGGTTGTATTCCTCCACCGCTTGTGGCTTCTTGATCGTGTAATGTGCCTACATTATTTGGCAGGACACGTTTCTGCATTCTGTACATTAAATTGAACATCGATATCCTGTCAATATGTAGCTCTCCTCAATTTCATTTTTTCCCTTTTTCACTTGCTTCTTTCCCTTGTTGTCTCTGTTTCTGTTCGCCTCTGTCTCGGGCTGTCGCATTTTCCAGCATCGTAGCAGCTCCTCATCTTCCCGCAACAGGTCAGCAACTCCACATGCCGCATTTGCGGAAAATCTTTTGCAACAGGTAAACGGACTCTTGTCATGGCCAACAAAGGAAGAGGTAAGGCTGTGCAATACACTGCAACTTTGACCCTCACTGAATTTCAGAGAGGTTCACCCTGAACAGAGAGCATCATAACGTTCTGTGAAAATGCACGGATTCCAATTGTGAAAGTCCCAGGTTGATCAGATCAGAGGGGCAGTAGCAAAGTTTTCTTGCATAACATCATTCTGTGAGAGCCAGTCGCTGGCTTGTGATAAGGCATCATTGTCTGTTTGCTTGCATGGTGAAGTGAAATAAAGATTACCATGCCAAGGAGCTACAAGTTATTATGTCCACTAACACCACCAGTCTAGTTAGGTGTAAAACGTCAGTACCGTCGGCCAGTGTCGTGCAATGTTATCGCAGGAGCTGATTGTTTAGTAACTGGTGGTGTTAGTGGACATTATAGCGTAACTTGTAGTTCCTTGATCCTTTTTCTTTCTTATCAATACCATGCCAAATATGTAAATAAAATTCGAGGCGAAAACAGTATTAGAATGGCGATCAACAGTTCAAGCTGAACCCACAATTCACAAAAGGCTTTATTGTATTCAAAACGAGTGGATCACCATACCACATGTTTTGCCTTCTTTTCTATGACATCATGCGGCCATGATAATTTCTCAGAGACATAAAAGTAGATAGTGAAGAGCTTATTGGTCTGTTTGCGATAAAACATGGCTGTGGTGACGAGGACAGTCAGATTTCATGCAGTCAGTTAGATTCTATGCACTAATATAATGAAGTTTGCTGCAAAATAGAACTACCTGGTATCGACCCTAGTGCTAATGAGGCAATGTGCAGTTGTATTGTACGTGGGGAAACTACCCCACAACCTTGGCAAGAAACCCTTAAGCATTTGGATTTTGTTGCTAATTTTATGTTGTAGACATTTAACTCGTGCAACTGGCTTTAGTAACCCGAAACTGGTATACAACCAGCGCCTCCCAAAGCTGGTATCATACTGGTTTGTGCGTGGTTTCCACGAAGATCCTGCGTTCCAGACCCCCCAAAGTCCTCTCCCCTCTGCCGCAAGGCCTAGGCGTATCTAATTGGCATGCGTTGGTGTTCTCGTGACCAAACCCGGCCAAATCAATTTATGCACGCCACTATGATAACACGAACAAGGGAGGCGGACGGCTGTGGAGCTGTAACTTCCAAGTTTCACTCTTCTCTCATTAGACGGCGGCATCCCCAACGCTTCGCCTCTGCTATTTCTGTACACTGCTCTACTGTGTGTCGAGCACTCGACTTTGAGCTGCCTCAAAGGGTCCTCTTTATGCCATTATGATTATGCTGTGTGCTCCAGTGCATAGCTCGGTACTTGGCAATAATGAAGGAACGACGTCCAATGAGATCTGGCGGGCCTTCACCGCCAGTCGCTCGCCCCGCTCGCTTTGGACTCAAGCCTCCTGTACATCCTATGGAGCCAAGAAGGCTGACGGCCGCTTCGAAGTCCCGCAGTGGCCGGCAGTCCGCCACAAGACCAGAGTCAGGTTAAGTCCATACCTTACTGTGTGGTCGATCTCTGATCATATCTACACTAGCTGATCATGGTTTATTTTCTAGAAAACTGGAATAGTATCGGATTGGACACAGATGGAGAGCCAAGGTTTAATTTATACAAAAGAGAAAGACCAAGGAACTACAAGTTACGCTACACTGTCCACTAACAACACTTCCTTGGTCTTTCTCTTTTGTATAAATAGTATCGGATGTTAACAATTCACTTGTTTTGATCTCTACTGTTACCGCACTGCTTGCAGGGGTGTTGGGAGGTGGGGGTGTGATGAAAAAGGAAGTTAACTTGATATGGTGACTGAACTGAAATTAACCCAACATGGGATGCATCACCTGTTGTGTTCAGATCAATCATCATCCGTTTTTTCCTCTGGAAGTCTAACCATAGACAGTACACATCACTAGCAGGACGCTGTAATGACTTTCGCAGTTCTTTAGAATACACAACAGTGACAACACACAACTTGATGGGCCGGGACATGAAGTTGAACATGCCAAGAAGCCGTCGCAACTCTGTGACATTCCTGGGTGACTTGACGTCTGTAGCAGCATACACTCTCTGCGGACCTGGCAGCAGACCATCCTTGGAGACGATGTTGGCAAGAAACTTCACTTCACTCTTCCTTAAGTGACACTTTGACTCGCTGACAGTCACGTTTACTGGGCAGAGCGTGTCTAGCGAAGACCTTCGTGTATAAGGCAACCTGGCGTTTTGATCGAGAAGCTTGTGCGAAGTGATTTCGCTTGCCGCATGCATTTTTGCCGCCAGATGGGCACTTACCCTGGGCATGTGTGCGGCCACAGTTCGAGCACTCCCCACGGGCGCCACTACTCGGCTGCTGCTGCTTTGGTGGCTTGCGTCAAGAGTTCCCAGGACGAGTGACGGCTGACGAGGAGACTGGCTTCGATACGGAGCTGCAGCGCGACCCTGAGCTGCAAACTGGTCCTGAACTTTCTCCGCTTGCCGGGGGCAAGTGCTTTGGTAAGGGTCTGTTCGGACGCCTCGTTTAATCTGGACGTCATGGCTGACTCGTTTGTTACACAGGAACAGGAACAGTGGATTAAGTACAGTAAGGAGGTGGTAAAACAGCACAAAAGAAGAATGTAGCTAAAGTTAACAGAGAAAATGCGTGACCTATACACATAGCAATAATGACACAAAGGTGCAAGTGCGAGAACTCAATAAGATATGTAGTGCGACAACAAGAGACGATCACTGGACATAACTAACGAGGTTTTGACGACCTACCTAACAGCCTAAGTGTGAATTTAATTTGCTTCTGCTTGCAAAGATTGGGTTTCTTTGTGTGGATGTATACGGCTTCCAAAACATTCAGCAATCTAGCACTGCGTACACGTGAAACAATCGAAAAACAATCATCTGAATACACAGCACGACAATCAGAATGCTCAAACAAATGACTAGCAATGGACGACTCATACTTATCAGAACTAACATCAAAGCAATCAGCATGTGCGGTGGACACATCCGATATCAAATGGCTAGTCGAGTGGACCCTAGCCGTTGCCTCTGGCAGTGCTTTAGACGCTGCCATTGCCGTCGTTGCCGAACTTGTCATTCTTCTAGTTGATGCGGTTCCTGTCACTGCCACGCTTGCCTGTATTTCACCTGATGAGAAGGCTTGAAAGTATACTTGTGAAAACAAAAACTTTCAAAATGTTCGTAAAGAGTCTGAGAGTACACATTGGCATAGGGCATGAAAGGTGCTTCATTTTGATATTCATATCATACTATACAAAAATATGGGTTCACATACATTCAAATGGGACTTCGGGTATAAGGACACTTCGCAAATAAGGACACCGAATCTCGTTATTCGCAAAGTTGACTGTACAAGTTTGTGTGCGAAGTATAACGGTTACAGTCAGGGCTGCGTCCCATGTATTGTTTCTTGGGAAGCATGTGTTTCAATGTCGGAAGGAAATGTTGACTGGTCGCTGCTGGGATGAAGACTGGACCATAGCTTAGTGGCTAGGGAATCCCTGCAGCGAGTGTCCCTGGTGGTGATAGTCAAGGTTTCTAAAGAAATTTCCCATTTCAATCCCTCGCACTTACAATAAAATCGTTTTTCTTACTCCAATCTTGATACTGATTAACTCCAGTGTTATTGCTACTGGTTAAGTGTCTACACTCGCCCGGCATCTGTGATACCCTCGAAGTGTGTTCAGTTTCTGCATAGAGAACTCAGCTAACACGGCATGTTTCTCGTATTTTCGGACATTAGCGCCGGTCTTCTATTAACTTCTGTCTGAAATACACGCCACATCTTTTCAGGGCTTTTGTGTGGATTTTTTTCAAATTGGGTGAAAGTTTAGCGCTCGCAAACTACTAAGCGCCTCGGCCAGTATTGCCGAAAATACGTTATCTTTCCACTCTTGCCTGTGTTAGGTGATATGCATGAAGCTGTACAGATGACATCACAATGAAAGCCCAGTTTTCGGCACACAATTATGGTGATAATCTGAAGGGGTCAAGTTTATGATATTAATTTTTATTATCGCTCTTTGTGCATATGTGTGCTACAGTGGAGCCTTCCGTCAGTCTCGACGATGCTCTTCCCCGGACAAGGTCAGTACAGATCCCAGTGATCTATGACAAGTGCACACAGCATAGATGTTGGACCCATTTGCCCCCGGGGAGGAGGTGGCAATAATAGCCGCACAAAACCCATTTCCTTATCTATTACCACGTATACATACAGATTCCCCGAGGGATTCTTGAACCACAGCTACACGCGGGGACCTGTGACAGTACTAAGGTTCTACGTACGCTAAGCAATCTGATACTAGTCTCGATTGTGCAATATAAAGGCTCCAATGTCTGGTAACTCCAGAAGACACAAGACCCCTTGCAACAGGACGACCCAGCACATACGAACTGCAAACAGCAAAGGGGAAGAACATATCAATTGCACCGGATTGCTTACTACCATGCAGTGATAGTAGAATTTTTGAAGTTTACCGCATGCATTCGAATATTCTTTCTGGCATCAGTATTCTAGAATATTCAAATAATTCTTATAATAATATGCCTTGCATCACCACGTAGAATCTGCGTGTAATCATTTCGAGTTGCTTGACCTTTGACAGCGCAGAGCAACACCATGCAAGAAAACGGGAAACCGAGAAAACGTCTGCGGCAACGTCTGAGATTGGATACAAGCTGGATGATGTGGCGAGCAGCTTTTTTGGCTAGCCGAGAGCACTGTAACCTGCGGCTCTGTGTGTCATGTAGATCGTTGACTGGCCTAGGACCAACCGTGCAGCCTAGGATACAGCAAGACACCTCTGTAAAGAGCTCAGCAGCGCCTACGAGCAACCCACATGTCGCCGTGAGTAAAATGACGCTGTGTGTAAAATGATGTCGCTGTGAGTGGAATGATGTCGCTGTGAGTGGAATGATGTCGCTATGAGTAGAATGATGTCGCTGTGAGTGGAATGATGTCGCGGTGAGTAAAATGATGTCGCTGTGAGTAAAATGATGTCGCTGTGAGTAAAATGATGTCGCTGTGAGTAAAATGATGTCGCTGTGAGTAAAATGATACAATCACTGGTTTTATGGGCTGCTACCTGTGGATGAAACTTAGAAGACACCAACCAGTCTTTGGTTCATTGGTAAAATGTATCTTTTTCACTCCACGCAGCACTGGTAAGCTAGCACGGGAACTTAAATCAGAGATAAGGAACATAGTCAGCCATAGTAGAATGGAAACGAAGGAGAGCAATGCAAAAAACACAATTTACTTTTGAAAAGCTAGGTTTGACTCTTTCTTCTGCTGCTGCTGCTGTTACACCATTCTTTGGCATACAAAACGCCCGCTACTGTCGTATTTCTTTTAGTTCAAAGACATAATGCACTTCTCCACAGACCTGTCTGTCTATTTTACAAACTTTCATAGCTAGGAATAATCTCGGGGTGATTGTGTTGCAACTCCAGGTTTCACGTAGTCTTAAAACCGGCTATTCCGGGGCTATGTTCGAGAAGCTGCATGACCCATTACCCCACCCCTTCAGGGAAGGATTTTGGACGATTTTAGATCGGGGCGTGAATTTCAGAAAATGTGTCATTCCATGCCAAACATTAACATTGAATTTAGGTGCGTTGCGATGATACCCAGGGCATTTTTTCCTTTATATCTCACCCTATGAAAGGCATTTTCGACATTCTCTTTTTCTTTTGGAGGATCTTAGCTGCTGAGAAGCTAATAATATAAGGATAAGGATAAGTAAATCACCAAGGCGCTGAAACATTTGGACGATCGCGCGTATCGCGCTATGGCAGATATTTTGCATAGCGTATGCAGGACAATATGACTGTATTCTCTTCGCATCACCTACCTGTTGCTGGTGCTGGTGCACTTTTGGCCCCGGCGTATATGTCATCCGACTATGACTACTGCAACATGCAGTCTGTACACTGCACACAGTACATTGTACTTGGTGGAAACATGAACAATTGCCATCTGATAGCCTACTGTATTGCAGGAGAAAGAAAAAAGGAAAAAATTGGTGGAAGAGCCACAGGTAAAGAGAGAGAATAGCAGTGTAGGCATTCGCTCAACACAGTACTTTGACTCTACGGCAGCAGAAAGGCATACATGTACCGTTTTGCCGGTGATATTGGGCTCACTTGATATGGAGCCATTGGTGCCCCCCCCCCCCCCCTTCGACTCCATGAGTACAACACTCATACCAGTTACTCATACTTCATCAGAGAAATGTCTGATTCCACAAGTACAACCCTTATGGGGGTGCAAGTTTGTTCATCAGAGAAACGTCTGATTCCACGAGTACAACCCTTATGGGGGTGCGAGTTTGTTCATCAGAGAAACGTCTGATTCCACGAGTACAACCCTTATGGGGTGCGAGTTTGTTCATCAGAGAAACGTCTGATTCCACGAGTACAACCCTTATTGGGGTGCGAGTTTGTTCATCAGAGAAACGTCTGATTCCACGAGTACAACCCTTATTGGGGTGCGAGTTTGTTCATCAGAGAAACGTCTGATTCCACAAGTACAACCCTTCTGGGGGTGCGAGTTTGTTCATCAGAGAAACGTCTGATTCCACAAGTACAACCCTTATGGGGTGCGAGTTTGTTCATCAGAGAAACGTCTGATTCCACGAGTACAACCCTTATGGGGGTGCGAGTTTGTTCATCAGAGAAACGTCTGATTCCACAAGTACAACCCATATGGGGGTGCGAGTTTGTTCATCAGAGAAACGTCTCATTCCTGGATTGAAAGATTCTGCTGGGCAGAGCGGTTGTAGGGCGGCACAAAAGAAAACGCAATGCAAAGCCGTGTGTAAAAAGGTGCGGTGCATGGATATGGAAAATAGCAATGCAAAAGAACACAATTAATTAAAAAAGGTGCATGTAATGGTGGAATAGAATGACTGATGTAGAAGGACCGTCCAAAGGTAAAAAAAATGGTGACAAGCTTGTTTCGTTATCATTAGGGTAACTCATCAGACCAATGGCAGCTCTGTGTGGGAACGGTCCCTCATCAGTAAAATTTTTAAAAGTGAAAGAACGACAACAGCAGAAGTGTGAGTCTACACATGGTTGTGTGTAAGATAGTTTGATAGACACTTGGTCTTTTTCCACGCAATAAAAGGTGCGGGCCCAGTTTAGTGTCAAGTCGATGCTTAGTCCAGAGATGTTTCATCACCTTGTTTAAGCCAGTGAGACTGGGGTGGTAGGGAATGATCAATGGAGGTGTGATGTTGCGCTTAGGGCGCGTGGGCCTAGTTTTGTGGTTAATGTGTGGAGCGGCTGAGACAATTGATTGTGAATAGCCTCGCTCAACAAGTTTACTAGACAAAAACGATCTAGTGCCCAGGGACGCAGCTTCAGTTGTCGATCCTCGATTCTCTCGGATCATTTCACCGAGCGCCACCGCTTTCCACGTGTGGTTGGGGTGGGAGGAACAGGTGTGTGACGTACTGAGCAAGGTCAGATATGCGTCCAGTTCAAGGAATTCGCGTGTCGCGCTTGGCCCATTGAAAATTTATGATGTAACAGCCTCAACAGCAGATAGCTTCCTCTGAAAGAACAAGACAGTTGAGTCCGCAGCAACGGCAGGTACATAGAGGCGCCTACAGCTACAATTGTGTTAGATCGGACCAAGGAAAAGCTGATCTGGCATCGGATAGAAGCTATGACTACGCTGTAAGACTCTTGTCGGCGTTCAGGGGCGCTATCCTTCTGTACAGAAGCAGATTTTCCATGTCTCCTCTCGAAAAACTGCATGACAGTGTACATGTGTGCATGCAACACAGAAGAAGCAATCACAGTCCTATGTATAAGTAGCCCTGATGACTATCCAAAGCTGTAAACCAATCAAATTAACTTCTCCTGCAACGCACCACGCAGGCATCAATGCATTGTCAGCTGCAGTCTTCTTGAAGCATGTTCAGTATGTACACTGAGTGTGTAGAAGCAGCACCATGCCTCGGTGACCGAGGAACTGCTGTGGCTTGGAGTGCTTTCTGTGCTGGGCTTATCTGCATCAAAGAACACGTCCATGGTGAAGAAACTGCGCAAGGAGGTTGATAGCAGCATCATCAAATGGCCTGACTTTGCTTGTATGCCGTGTAGAAGGATGAAAAAAGTGCTGCTGCTATCAACTTCCATAGGCTGTTTCTTCACCAAGGGCGTGCGTCTGCAGAGATAACTCCAAGCAGAATAGGCACCCCAACTGGCCCAAGCCACAGTTCTCTGGGGTTTGGTGCTCGGTGCTGCCTCTACAGACTCATTACACATCTATGCACCTGTGCATGCTGAGCATGTTTCCAGAAGGCCACAGCTGACAATGATGATAATTGCGTGGTGCGTTGAAGTTGTCATAGAAAAGTTTGATTAGTGGAAAAGCATGATAGTGGCCTTCTACGAACGGTACATATGTGTGTGGTTGTGTATTCTTTGGTCCAGTGTATGCTGCTACATAATCATTGCAATAAAGTAGTCAGTAGTCTACCACTAGCTAGCTATCACATGTCAATGTACAATGTACATGTAGAGGCTGCTGCATATCACAGCAGTAATAGTTGGATGAAATACCCAGGGCGAGAGTGTACCAGCACCAGCAATATTTCGGTGACGCGAATAGAATACATCTTGTCCTGCATAAACTATACATAATATGTGCCGTGACGTAGGACAGTCGTGTACGTACGGTCGTCCAAATGTTTCACCGCCTACTCATCTGTTGTGTCTTTACTAATTCCTATCCTCATACTAGCTTCTCAGCAGCTCAAGTCATGCAAAAGAAAAAGAAAAATTAATATTGAAAATTCCATCCACAAAGTGAGATATAAAGGAAAATGTATTGGTTACCATGGCAACACATCCACTAAATTCAAGTTCGTATTTGGCAGGGAACCGACACACCCTTCTGAAATTAAATTTCATTTTTGTAATCAGTGGACACGCCCCCCCCCCCCCGACCTAAGATCGGCCGAAACCCCTCCCTGAGAGGGGTGGGGTAATGCAGGTGCTCGATTTTGGATTTAGCCGATGAACTATATCGCTTCGGCGATTGTTTCTATCACAAGCTGAGAGTTTTCTCTTGCAGATACACATTTTGATCGTGAGAATCGACCAAGAATTGACCGAGTTATGATTGTCTGAACGCATGAGGTCCAGGCAGATCGCGTATGTACGCGATGTACACCCTGGTTCGAGTGTGGTGACGGTCAATTTGTTCAGATTTTTCCCTTTCCAGCTCCTAATGAAATCATAATGGCATTCTTATTACGCTCATTCTGTTTCTACCAGAGGCCTACAGTACCTGAAGCACCGGATGGTAATGCCCCGATAGCCTCGTCATTAGTGGACTGGACACGTCAGCCAGCTGCAGCCAGACTGGGCTTCTCCGCTCGACACGTTGTGAAGGAGTATGCGACCAGGGCAAAAGAGATGAGGTAGGTTTCTCTACACACAATAGATTGTTCTTCAATTAAAACATACGATTATTGCAAGCAAAGGATTCTGTGCCAGGTCATATGTAATATGAGTACACATTCTCTTCTCAGTTGTAATTGTGTTTGTTTTCCTGCAAAGCCGCCATGCCGAAGGTGATGGACGCAGTGTGCTGATCGTTGTCTCAGACAACAGCCACGCAGAATCAGGTAGGATGATCTTTTTTTACATTTCCTGTCTTCTTGTGTACCCGTGTGTGTGTGTGTGTGTGTGTGTGTGTGTGTGTGCGTGCGTGTGCATGTGCATGTGCCCACACACATGTGCTGCCTGTATAATGTGCGTGTGAGTATAGGCTTCCCTGATTATTGGCCATTGGGTGGTGTAAATTGCAGAAGACTAGTTTGCAGGATCCCTTCCGATCCTTTCTGCTCTCCACCAGGAGACAAGGCGTCCTGTTTATCCCTTTCAACTGGTCACTTTGTGCGCGCGCGTGTGTATGTGAGCATGTAAATGTGCACATGTATCGTTCTGTGTTCTCTGATCAACTTCTGTATGAATGTGTTCTCTGATCAACTTCTGTATGAATGTGTTCTCTGATCAACTTCTGTATGAATGCGTTCTCTGATCAATTTCTGTATGAATGTAAAACAGAGAGGTTCCAGGCTGTCCGGTTTTCTGATGATCGCTTAGTGCGTGAAACTCTGAGTAAAAACACTTCCTCTGTCCTCCTATTGTTTGTCTGTATGAATGTGTGTACTTGATTGTCTAGTTCCAGTCCGTGAGTGCTTTAGACTGCCTGTCAACCTGTTCCGCGAGAAGATGCCCTTTTTCGCCGACTGGGACCTACGCCAGAGGCAGCCGCCTGGTGCAGGAGATGATCTCCCCTCGACTCGCTCCTCTACAGCACTAATCCAGCCACCGGCTGTTGCTGGCAAGGCCGCTGCCGCTGAGGAGCCTCAACACATCAGCGTGATATGCAACATTGAGCTGTTCACCTGGCTATTGCAGTACATACACGCTGGCAGAGAAAGTCTGAAGGATGGCACGATACTGGACAAACCCCAACTAGGTGAGTGGTTACAGTTGACCCAGTCTTAACAGAATTTAGCGGTACCTACCGTATTGTCCTGATAAACCACACTTATTAAACACCAATGTGTGTGTGTGTGTGTGTGTGTGTGTGTGCGTGCGTGCGTGCGTGTGTGTGTGTGTGTAACCTTGACTTCATGTCTACAGACCTGGATAACGTCACAGCTGTCTTGAGATCGTCACTTCACTTGAAAATGGCTGAATTAGTAAGTCCTTGGGGGTAGATGCATCTCCGTAGCTAGGATGATTTCACTCTGGATGCTTTGTCACCACCTGCGTGACCAATGTACCTTGTATTGGTATGCTTTTTAACCCTTTCCATGCCATGCCTGTTGCAACGTGCCTGGCCCATAGGTTTTTGGCCAACAATCACATTTTACAATTTTTGTCCCTGTCACACCAAATTCCTTTCTGACACCTCTGGCATATATTTGAACCACATTACAATCAAAATTATCAATGTTTTGACTGGCCATTAGCCCTTTCCCAAAGGTGCTCTTTTAATTCGCACTTAGTGCTTTTCGCGTCCCTCAAAATATGCTGAAAAAGTGTTCTTTTTTCAGTGAAAACAGGCAAAAAGTGCTCTTTTTCAGTGAAGCATAGCCATGATAGATGTTTAGATATGAACGCAAGATGAGAAATGAATACGCACTCTTCCATTTATGGGTCCTAGAAAGGCAAACCAGGAAGTAAAGTTCAAAAAACACAATGCTGTAAACAGAGGTGTCAGAAAGGAATTTGGTGTGACTGGGACAAAAATTGAAAAATGCGTTATCCCCCAAAAAAAGCGGCGTGCCAAGGCCCATTGCGATATCGAGCGCTCGGAAACGGTGATCGTATGCATGAGCAAACAGATTTTAGCACTTTTTCTGCTAAAAAAGCTCAAAAAGGGCGATATTCACCAAAAAACGCAATAAAGGGCGAAAGAAACGGGCTTTTCCAAAAAGGGTCCAAAAGGGCGAAAAAGGGCGAGCACCTTTGGGAAAGGGCTACTGGCCATTTTGATCATTTCTCAAAGACCTTTTTTGTGAGAAAAAAAGTGCGCTTCAAGAAGATTGGGTCTGCGTGCGAAGGCAAGTGGTAGATAGACATTGGAATTGATCATTCCTATAATTATAGAGAAGCATTGCACTATTGGTCAAGACCAACATGAATTCTAAATCAGGTATTGTCAACAAGAAATTCAGCTGGCGATAGATTCAAAGAACGCAAATGTGAAAATTTGTCAAAAACATATCTAGGCATAATCTCTTTCGTAAACTCTCCATTTCTTGATCTCCATTCTAGTCAACGTCACATAGTCAGAAATATATTTACAAGTTATAGGTGTCAACAACTCCATACTTGAAACAACTCTAAAAAGCTATATACTACACACTATTTACAACACGTTCACTGGAACGGTACAACTGCTGCAGAACTGTACAAGCGGCACTGTGATAAGTAATCGCGGTGGATGTGATAGGCCTTGAAGCAGGGCGACACACACAGAACAGGTTTCTGTGTGCACGTTTCGCAGTGGTAGCGAGACTACCGCCTCTGGCCATGAGATGAGCAAACAATGCAGCGGGGCTTGGCATTTGGTCTGCCGGTTGTAGACGGATTCGGAGCCAGGAAGTGACGGCCCAGCAAACGGTCATGCTTGTGGGACCAGCTTCCATATCGGGACTTCCGTCTCTGAGGAGAACAAGGCAGGCTTCCTTCAAAAGCTTGTACTGATCGAGTGCATTCGTTGGCTTGAGCCTGTAGGAAACATACGCGTTGTGAAATGCTGCTTCCACGAAATGGAGCGCCGCTTTTTGTACCATTTCCACGTCTTGCACAGAGCACTGTGAGTGGACACCATCATGTCCTTCTCGTCCACTGATCCCATCGAGACGTTGTAGTCGGCGTTGATATGCAGGCGGCAAATACGATGTCCCTGGCGGTCACGCTTCGTAGTCGTCACAATCTTTGCATTGTGCATAGTTTTTGCAAAGGTACACAACCTTATCATGTAGCTTGCCGAGCTGAATCTTGCCCTTCCGGCGACATGCGTACCGTCCTTTAGCGAGGACCAGTGTCTTCAGGTCTTGCACGAACCGCGTGACTATTGTTTTCGCTCACCATCAAAATTAATATTGTTTTACTGCCCGAAGTTCTTCTACAAGAGGTACACACTCAGCACACATAGCTGCTTGAAATCCTCATCCAACAGTTCGTTGATATGCCGTGATACGCTGCATAGTCTTGTTATATCTTTTATAGATAACATAGACAGTAGCACGGAGTCCCACACGTCGAGATCAATCGTGTCCAGTGATCTGCGTGCCACAGGATGCTGGCTCTCTACTTCATGGCCTTAATCATGCGGCGATGCGATTAGGGCGTCAGCAGGATGTAGAGCCTCTACAAGCTCAGGAATGGTTGCTGACTGCTGCAATACTGTCTCGGTGTCTGGACACTGTCCAGGATGTTCCTTTTCCATAACCAAACGTTCTACGCGCTTCGTTGCATTTGCTCGAGTTAATGGCGGAGGAAGAGATGTTGCCTTCATCTTGGCAAATGTCCGTCTTCGACCAATTCTGTAAACTAGTGACAAAAACCCACAGCGACTATGGACAGTGTCTGGTGACGTCCAAAGAATGCAATGCAGGTCCAATCCAGATGCCATGAAGTATGCAGGGTTCCGTGAGGTGCTGCTTTTAAAGATAATTCAAACAACCATTAGCGAGTGTTACTATAATATTATATTCGATGCCATTGTTTCAATTCAAAATTATTTTCGCAACCGGATAAGAAAACGAGGTTTTTCCTTTTCGGACAGAAACTTGCTTACACGTAAATTACTAATCGGAAATTCTGTCTTTGCTTTATAACATCAATGGAGTCAGGCTATCGGGCTCTGCTTACCTTTCGCCTTCAGGATGAATACCGTCTTTGTCATGAACACGCCGCAGTGCATACGAAGTTCTCTCTTCGCAACATCAAACTACGACAGTGTAAACGACTCACAAAACAGCCTCACTAAGTTCTAAAAGCCTGAGGGCCAGTATTTATATCGCGAAGGTACTGCCCACAGGACGCTAGCTGTCGCTGGAGTCTTGTCTTGTGGGATCCCGCTCGCATAGTACCACATGCACCTGTGTCATTGTCCGCAAGGTAGCGACAGAGGTCAAGCGATGTGTACCAGTTATCGGAAAAAAAATAGCCGATACCCTTTGCCCAGCAGATCACCAAGCAAATGAATCACCAATGCACCAGTCACTCCCAGGGTTGCTGTGTGCGGCAGTGGTGTAGCTGGACGACCAACATAAACTCTGGCGTTGTAGTAGTAACCTTGGTCGCAAAGCGCGAAAATCTCGACTCCGAAGTGCGACCGCTTGTTTGGAATGTATTGCTTTATTAGCCGGCCTTTGTACAGAACAAGTTGCTCGTCAATTGCAATTTCTCGCTGCGGACGGTATATACTCTGAAATTGTTTCAGAAGAAGAGTTACCAGTGGTCGGAATTTGCGGATGCAGGCATTGGGATCAGCAGTTGAGTTGTCCGCAAAATGCAAAAAATGCAGAATCAGCTCGAAGCGGTTGCGCGACATGACACCTGGGAATAGAGGCGTTTGTGACATGGAGTCGGTTGACCAGTAGTCACATATTCGGGACTTCCATACCAGACCAGTAAATCTCCAGAGCGCGAAGAATTCCTTCATTTCGCCAGCGTTGCATGCGTGCACCTGCGCTTACATCATGCGACGCGATGAATTGCTGTGCATATCGATTGGTTTCTGTCACAACCAAATAAAAAAATCTGGCTGAAGCAGTCGGATGTAGTATTCCACGCCAGCATCAACTGGAGGATAGGCCAGTACTGGCAGCAGTAAACTGTGGGGGCACATTTTCTACGAGTTGTCCACTCAGCATCATTTTTTTGCAGAATTGCTATCATCAAATTCATGCACACAACTGAAAATTTTCAACAGTTTCATCATCCTCAGAATTTCCTTCGTCTTCAGTTTCTGGAGCGTCTGCCTCAGCATTATTTACTGGCTCAGCTGCAGCAGCTTCTGCAGGATAGTCGGTGATGTTTGCTGCCGTTGGCATGCCTCCAGGATCTTCAACTCGATCGTCAGATCCATCGTCATCCGATGAGATCGCATCGTCAGGAAACCAAACTCCATCTGGTTCATTCTCGCTGTTGGAGTCCTGAAATATCTCTCCTATCGCTTCAGCGGCGCTGAGGGAACGACGGCGTCGTGACATGCAGCGCAACTGCCAAAACACTAACAGTTAGCCAATGTCAAAATAAATTGTAACCTGGAAAAAATCAAAAGAGTAAATATTTGTCAGCGGCTAGTTTGGAACTTCGCGCCGCGTGCCACGTGCTGGCATAGCACTACCACGTCTTCAGGTACGCCTGAGGCTGTGTTTACATGAGAAATTCCAACCCGGGTCGAGTTCAGCCCGGGTAAAGTCTGTACGATAGACAAAATAGGTGAGCGTTTACATGAAGACAGTTGACCCGGGTCAAATACTGATATGCCGCCAAAAGTCCACTTCTAGAGTCCTGTATGATCACGTGAATCCGTTCGCGCGAAATTTGCATATGCAGTCCGGTTCAAACCTGGCGCGAGATACACAAAGAAGTACGTTTGCACGATTTTCTTGACCCGGGTTGATTTCAACCCTCCCCTTGGGGGGAGGGTTGAAATCAACCCGGGGCGAAATTTCAACCCGGGTCAAGCGCAATGCGTCATGTATGCGCATTTTGTGCACATGGCGGGTTGAAACCTGACCCGGGTCGAACTCAACCCGGGTTGAAACGCCTCATGTAAACACAGCCTCAGTGTGTCACAAAGTCGATATGGACAGTCTAGCTGACCCTACGATCAAGGCCCATGCCCACAGGTTGTATACGCGACGATGGCCATTCAGGGTACATCTGCAGCGTCGCGTATACGCGACGCTGGCGTGCAAAGGGTTAAAGTTAGCCACGGATGATTATGTAGCCCCCCTTCTCCCGATCCCCTTTTGCTGAAATCCCTTTCAATGGTTTGTATCGCATGTAAGGACTAAAAATACAGTGCCCTAATCATAGTGTGGCTAAAATCAGACCAAATTTCGGGCTTTTTATGCCAGATCAAGACAGATATTGAAGATTAGTGGGCAAGATTTTTGTGTCAAGATGTCAAGGTAGCCTGTCCAGGCCTAACATTACATGCACACTCGTACTGCGCTCGGGTAGTGGCAGGCCTCTAACATGCACACCCCCATACTGTACTCGTGTCATGCTCGTATTGTGCTCGTGCTGTACTTCTATTGTGCTGGTGTGCAGGTAGATGAGTGCGTCTCGTTCATTCAACAGCATCTGAATGAAGTTGTGGCGACGGGTCCACAGAAGGGGACGTTTGACCATAAAATCACTACCAAGTAAGTACAGTGCGGATCGGCTATAGGGTTGTCGGCTATAGTAATAAACCTCTTATAGTGATCGTATTCTCAAATTCATTTTCGTAAACCACCCCTTTCTATACATATCGGATCGGCTATAGTAATAATCGGCTATAGTAATAATATTATATCGGCTATAATGATACGATTTCTTTGTCAAAATGATTTTATTGCGTACATTTTTCATCGGCTATAGTGATGATCATAAAACATTATACATCGTACATGTACATATATTAACGTCGCGGGGAGAAGAATGTTTCTTTCTTGCGTTTGTACACATATTGCTTCTTGGAGAAATAGTGGTCCAATGTAGACTACTGGTGTGTCCTTCGTGGCTTCGTTGCGAGGGATGTCTCAACAGCGTTCACATGCTGGTAAACATGCTCGCCCGCTCCCGACGCATGGAGGGCATTTCGTACCGTGTCTAATGCCTTGAACACCTCTGCATAGGAAGGCGAAGGTGGAGGAGGCAGAGCTTTTCCTCCATCATCCTCTTCTGCAGTTTCTTCTTCTTCTGCAAGCATCTGAACGATTGTAACGGTATCACCTGATGGTGGGCAGGCGACTGGCAGATTGTCGTCAAGCTCATTCAATTGTGTGACGTCGTTGTCCAGTTCAGGGAAGATGTGCTGTGGCTCAGCAAGTTCCGGACCCTCGACTGCTTGAAGACCTGCATGACGCCAACAGTTTCGGATTGTTGTCTGGGTAAGCAGATCCCATGCACGTTTCGCATACTGGAGGCAATGCAACATGTTAATGTTCTGCCTCAGCACTGTGGAGTTCATCACTGTCACCGTTTCGTCATCCACGAGCATTCCAATCTTTGTCAACATCTTCTTTCGGTAGTGTGACTTGAAGTTTTGGATTATACCAGCATCACAGGGCTGGATGAGGCTGGTGGTGTTAGGCAGCAGGAAGATGACCTTTATAAATCTTGAGCCGAGACTCAATGGCGTCAAATTTGTGAGCCACACAGTTGGACTCCCATTTTCCTCCAAGGACATTCGCTGGCGTTGTGTGCGCTGTAGCTATCGCTCGTGGAAGAGCAGATGGACCAATCGCAAGGAGAGGGAGTTTCGTACCGTCCATGCCAGTGGTGATGGCAAACGTCACTCTATCCTTTTGGGTCTTGCCACCCTGGAGCCGCTCGTCAGCTCTAGCCAGTGTTCGCTGGGGCAGAGCTCGCCAGAACAATCCAGTTTCGTCCATATTGAAGACTCTACCCGGATCGTGACCGACACTGGCGAAGATGCCTGGCCAGACGTGCTCGAGGTAGTGCTGCGCACTAGCAGAATCTGCGTCTCCCGATTCTCCATGTGTGTTTGCGTGAGACTATGCTGCGTTTCTTCAGAAACCGCTGCACATAGGAACGCCAAGCAATGTCGGTGGAAGGAATGGCGGAAATTTCCACCAGTTCTTGTTCCACGAGTCCATCGGATATCTGCCGACATTTGTTGATCAGCAACTCGTACGAAATCGATTTCATCTCTTTTTGCACGACATGATTCGTAGAAGGCTTCCATCCCTTTCTCCAGTACATCGCACTGTTCGACGGTTTTTCTTTCGAGTGACGGTGCCCTTCGCACCAAGCGCCATGAGGGAGTCGTGCCTCTTCATGATTGAGGAACCTGTTGGCTGCGCAATGCCGAACTTCCGAGCGATAGCTGCTCGGCTCGTCCCCGGATTCTCCTCCGCATATTTTATGATGTCCACTTTGTCGTTCACTGTGAACAACTTTCGATGAGAAGCCATTTCGACCACAATGAAACTTCCAAGGGTTCACTCATAAGCGTTCATGAATATCACAAACTAGCTTGCTTTCAGCATGATTCCGACTCTCCCTGAGCTTTATACCACTCCATGGAGGACAAAACGGCAATGAAAGGGTAGGTGTAAGTGCTAAGTGGGTATGTGTACAAGATGTGTAGTAAAAATAACCATTCGGGCGAATTCAATACGAAACTCGCGGATGTCTCCACATCACACCGTGAGCGTATCGGTAGCGTATACGGTATGGGACCTGGCACACGCGAGGAAGCTAGCTAGCTCGCATGTGCCTTCACTCTATCTAGCTCTGCACTGCGCGTACTGCACAGTCACATGCACAGCATGCTTCTGCACGCTGCACTGATTCGAATGGCACCATACACGCATGTGTCAGGCATACCTAAGTATGTATATCGCCTGTAGTAATATATCGCCTATAGTGATATTTTCACGAAAATCAAACACCAACGCTATAGCCGATCCGTACTGTACATGGGGAGAAGTGAATGATATTCTTGGCACCAAAAAAATAGAGTTTCAAATAAGTGAAGAATATCGTTGATGAGCCATAGCCAGCTAATATCCTGAAACTTAGATGCTATCACCACTGGTTGAGGAATGAAGCACAGTGCAGATGCACTCGACAGGAACAATTCTTCAAATTGTTTTAGAACCCCCAACATGTTTTAGTTGACCGCTGCCCATAGCATTTGATACATTGTCTGGATTTCCAATGATCCCACCGGGACACTTGTCTTTGCACCTGGTACTAGCGTACGGTATCCGTTGCACACCTTACTTCAACATGTTATGCTGTCTTTCCATTATGTCAGTTGCTGTCTGGTACTTGTGAAGTGAAGTCTATGGAGTGTAGGAACTATGATATTCATGAAGGAACATTGCCCGTTTGCAACCGACTGTACAGTATAGGCTGTTAGCATGCAAATTCTTACGGAATTCGTCAAATGGAAAGAGAAAAGGACCCATGTTACTACTTGTAGCTATCACTAACAGTCCACCAAGGTAACGAGCATACATACAGGAATTCGTCAAATTTATGATTCTCACGAGACTTTGATTTTCTCTTTTGTGGAGAACTGCATTTACAAACATACCTTCTAACTTTAGACAACTTCAAACAAGCTAAACCAAGGAGGCTCCAATTTACTACTATCTACCTTATAGCAAAGGACCAATGGTTTGAGTCTCGTTCCTCTTCTGCAGACATGATTTTCTTACCCTTTGTCATGCCTCGATGTGTAGGGCTCTTGTCCAAGTGCATGCATGGTGTTGCTCTGTTACATGCTGTTATCCAATGTTCTCAGACTGTGCAGAAGGCTGTCGCTGCATGATGCCCATGCGCTTAAGGACCCTGACGACCACTTGAGCAGGTAAACAAATAGTCAGGACCACCAGAGCAGTTTTTGATTGGTCTGGGGTCATACTATGCAGTACTGTCGGCGCCGAAGAACGGCCAGCCAAGAATTTCACCAAGCACTGTATACCAACGCGGTGCCTCAACTGTGCATAGACTGTAATACATGAAAATAAGAACGGTCTAGGCTAGGAGGCTGACACCCCCCCCCCCTCCCCCGTTTTTCGGCGAACGCCAGTATAGGCTTTTAGAAGCGCTCATAGAACTTTACACTCAGTTTCAAAAAGTGCTCGAGATCCATTACTCTGCTTGTAGAATATTGTGTTCCACTGAACACACGATTCTACCAGCGGAGTTTGGTGCCATACGCTTTTGTACTGCCTTGTGTTGCATGTTGTCCAGCATGCTTTTCAAGTGTTACACACGCCTGCTGTTTGAGCAGCCCAGTCTGTTTCACACCACTGTCGGGAGCAGCGATACACTATTCAAGTGAGTCATGCTCGCACGCATGCACACTCATGCACACACACGCACGCACGCATACACACACACACACACACACAAACAAACACTCAGACACGCACACACAAACACACTCGCAAACACATGCTCAAACACACGTGCACACATTCACACACACACACACACACACACACACACACACACACACACACACACACACACACACACACACACACACACACACACACACACACACACACACACACACACACACACACACACATATATATATATATACACCTAGACACAAAGGATTTCCAAGTTTTAGGGTTAGGGCTAGGAGGTTCTGCTAGGCAGAGTGGCAGTAGGGCGGCACAACGCAGAAAAAAGGATGAAGAATGCAAAGCAGTGTGGAAAAAAGGTGCGGTGGATGGAAAAGGAACACAAAGCAATGCAAGAGAAGGAATGAATACAATGGAGGAGGTGGATAAAAAGTGAATTGTGAAGGAAGGAGAGATTGTCCAAAGGAAGGAACGACATTTTTTGCTTCCTCACTATCGGCGAAAAGATAATGTATCGATGATTTATTCGTAGCAGATTGTCGATGAACCTATCCGTACTAACTGCCCGGTTAAATTTACATATGAGACAAGTAAAACCGAAATCATTATGCTCGACCGTAAGCTCAGCATCCAAGACAATAAAAAAGAATCTAAAATTAATTTCAAACAAACAAACAAATTTCAATACACCTCACCTAGATCCTCCCACCCCAACCAGTGGCGGATCCAGGGGGGGGGGCCCAGGGGGCCTGGGCCCCCCCTTTGAAAATTTCGACCTTGGTCTAGGATTACAGTAGACTGTAGAATGAGCGCTCGAAATTACTTGGCATGTCAAGTGGGTCACGCGTGCTGGGTACTTTTATACGTGTCCGGTCACTCCGGTACATGGTGTCACGCACCGAGCATGAGTCTGTACTAGTCAGCGCGCTGTGTACCGGTGTACAACTACTGTACGCACTGCAGTACTGCGACCTGAGGACACGGCCGTACTTCAAACATGTGAAAAACGTGCCAAAAATGCAGGGCCTGGTACATAGTGCAGCGATCGCGTTGGGCTGAAGTCCTGTATGGTGCACGGTGCTGTCGACTTCGTCCTTCCTTTTTTCTTTTTCAATTGTCAGAAACTACAAGTATACGCTCTCTAGCTCTCTACTTCGCTTGTAGCCAACGGGTTACCTTCAGATATGAGATGAAGAGGAAAGGGTCTGACATCAGGTCGTTCTTCAGTGGACCGGTAGATAAGAGAGCTCGCGTTGGAGAGCCGTCCAAAGGTCCGTCGCGGCCGCTGTCGAGTGGAAATGTTCCAGTGCAGTTTGAAAATGTCGTGAGAATGGAATAAAACTAGAAACCGGCGGATTCTGCTCGAAAAGGTGGCATATTCTGCTCGAAAAGCAGTGAAATTGGCAGAATCATACAAACCTTATGGCGGGCAATTCCTCGAATTCTGCTCCATACTATAGTATTTTTATCCACATACCAAACATCCATGAAACTTACCAGAAAAAGTACCGAATTCTGTCAATTTTTCTGCCGGCAGAATCCGCCGGACCCTAAAAACAACTGCTCTTCACAGCTTCAGGACTTTGTTGTTGTTGTATTTGTTGTTTTGTTTGGGGGGGGGGGGGGGCGGATACCTTGGGCCCCCTCTTCGGCCAAGTCCTGGATCCGCCACTGCCAACCACACGTGGCACTGGGGGAGATGATTAGAGCAGGTAGAGGATCAACAAGTGAAGCTACCTCACTAGGTACCCGCTCCTTCCTGGCAGCTAAACTCATTGAACGTTACGAGGTTACTCTACACCAATAGTAACGCCGCTCTATCCTCTACGCATCACAAGAAATCCACTCGCCAGAAAAAGAACACTGCACCACCACTCATACTACCGTACCATCCAGGTCTAACTGACCTAAATAAAGTGTAAAAAACTTGTAGACTAAACACAAGCTTGACACCATCCTGGGCCAGGCACCTTTCATCGCCTGGAAGAATACTAAATGCCTCGCTAGCTACCTCAAAGCACAAGCACGTCTGAGATTCACACCTACCTGGCAGCCTCTTCTAACATCCTCAGTTGTTTCACCTAGAAACAAAAATTCCATTGATAAGAGACTGTACCACCACTCTGGACTCCATTGGTCTGATGAGGTACTCCTTCGATAGTACCGAAATAAGCTTATAACCATTCCTTCCTTTGGACAGTCTCTCCTTCCTTCACAATTCACTTTTTATCCATCTCCACCATTGCGTTAATTCCTTCTCTTGCATTGCTTTGTGTTCCTTTTCCATCCACCGCACCTTTTTCCACACTGCTTTGCATTCTTCATCCTTTTTCTGCGTTGTGCCACCCTACTGCCGCTCTGCCTAGCAGAACCTCCTAACCCCGCTCTGTCTTAGGACATTGAGCACTTTTTGCCATATATATATATGTTGAGTTCGAAACAGGACGACTGACGACATATCCAGACATTACAACGGGAACAGGTAGGTTGGGACGACATTTATTAGAGACGGGACAAGAGACCAAGACGAACGAAACGACTACATGATGATTATTGACGAGTGAGAAAAGAGAGAGAGAGATCAAGTCTGAACGGCAAGATAAAGGGCCTGGGTAGCTATGGCAAATATGGGCGCGCAAGTAGCTACCCAGGCCAACGGAACAAAAGGAGACAAAAGGTGAGTACGTAAGTGCATGCAGGCCAGCTAGAAAAGGTACGGGAGGAGGTACCTAACATATATACATACTCAATCTGCGGAGAGCATGCTGTTTCGTTCTTTTTGAACTCATCAGCGCAGCACAGAGGAAATGAGGCCGAACCGGATAGCAATGAAAATAAAAATTTCCAATCAGGCCCGAACGTACCTTGCCAGAGTGCTCAAACTGACAAGTCAGTGAGCTCTGCATATATACATATATAGAACAAGAAGTATTTCTTGCGTCAGCAGAAGACACAAAGGATTTCCAAGTTTTGGAGTGTTGCTATGAGTTTCATGCAATAGCACTCTTCAGGCAACTTTCTCTTCTCTCACATGAGTATCCCTTTACATACCAGAAAAGACGAAAAGGAGCACCCTAGGGTGGGGATCACAGGTGGAGAAAAGAAGCACACTAGCCAGTCTAGGTGAGAATCATAGGTGAAAATAAGTGTTGCAAGAGTGGTGGTGTGAGCAATCGCGCAGGCGCGGTGGTGTGCATAAGGTGAAGTGTGGCAGTAGGATGCATGCACATAAGATAGCAAGAGTTCTGCATATGTGCACTAGATAGCAAGCGCAGTCTACAGTTCAGGTCACCTTCGATAGGAGGTACTTGGGCTGTGGTGACATTTTGTGACCAGGCGGCATCTGGTGTTGAGGAGCGATGCCTTGTCACTGTTCATTATGGCGATTTTCTCCGATAGGCATAGGTTGCACCGCTTCGAGGTTCTTTTGTAGGCGCTGGATCTCTGCCTGATTCTCCACGAGATGTTGGCATCTTCACCTGCCTCCCTCGGCGCCCTTGCATGCTTTGACAATTCTGTGCTGTTTCTCTGTGGGGCATTCCGGAACGATGACGTGTGGTTGTTGAACCGGAGCTTGAATGGGGTTTCGGAGATGCTGATGTACTTCTTCTGGCTGAGATTTGAGTCCACTGTAGCTTCGCATACTATCTCGCTGGCGTTGCAGTCCCCGTTGAGTGGGCAGTCTGCTTTGATACGGCATTTGCATCTCTTCTCTTCCGGCTGTCTGAGGACTTTCGCGTTGTGGCCCTTGATTATCGAGGCTAGGTTGGGCGAACAGCTGTAGCTGACTTTGAGCGTGTTTTGTTGAATATTTTTCTGAGGGCAGATCCTTCTGGGAAATGGCGCTTCACAAGTTTCAGGAATCCCGCGGCAACATCAGTCTTCACGGACTGGCGGTACGGTATGTTAAACCAAATGACGTCCCTCTTCCGATTCTTTTTCCTCCTGGCTTGTCCTTCCGTGTTCGTCGGTTCCTCATTATAGACGAGTGCGTAGTTGAAGCCCCTTTTGAGAGAGCTGCAGCGTACGTGGGGGCAGCCTCTTCAAAGACTTCTTGATTGGCAGAGACGCTCGTTAGGCGCTTGTTGATTGACTGCGGCAGGTTCTTGATGACTATTGGAGGATGGTTAGACTCACGGTTGATGTAGAGGGGCGTGTCCCCGGGCTTGCGGTATGGCTTGTAGGTGCCTGTTTCGAGGTTTAGAGTGACGTCTAGGAAGTCGGTTACTTTTCTGTTGACGTCGATTGTTATTTTCAGGCCTAGTGATTGGAACATACCGATGTTCTTCCGTATCTTGTCTGCTCTCCAACCCGGTACTCTCCTTAGGGTAGCTAGGCCATCATCACGGTACAATCCGATTGATGGCTTGTCGATGTAGCTTGGCAGCTTGTTCAGGAGTGATGCGCCTACCAGCTGGCAGACCTCAGCTCCGTCGTAGGACCCCATGGTTACGTCAAATCCGTTATCGTTGTCCTTTTTCACCCATGTTTTTGATCCGTCAAATAGCAGAGATCTCCTAGCGTGCATAATGATGTCTACGTCGCTCTTGCTGACGTTGGTGTATTGCGCTGCGAATCTCAGTGCTTGGCGAAAGGAGGTCTTCTGTAATTGACGGGTAGTAGCTGACGATGTCGAAGCACACGAAGGTTCTCTCATTTTTGTCGTCCAATCCTTGGAACCAATCTAGAACCGATGCTGTGTTTTTCCATAGCTGGATGTCAGTCGCCTTGGTGACCTCAGTAGTGATCCTGTCCAATATTGTCTTGCTGATGATGCCCATCTCGGCCTTTGCTGGGTTGATTAACCTGCATGGCAGATCGTTGGCGAATCTGTCTTTATGATCCTTGAGGGTCAGGAATGCTTTAGACTCTGCCATCGTGTCCATGCGGTCATCCAGCGGCTTCTCCATGTTTTGTGCGATGCTCTTTGCCTCTCTGTTGATATCCTTATACATTGCTGCCGGGGCTATTTTGTATGCTTTCGTGATATTGTCCTTCGATAGCTTGTTGTACCGCTCGCGCGATACCTCGTACAAGTTGCTGGTTTTGTCGGCTTTACTTTGTCGGATTTTGAAATGGACCGGGCTTTTTCCCTCGGGTCGTTTTGAAAGGGCCCATTTACACGCCTGAATTTTACGTTCTCCATCATTTTCACTAGGTCTTTTTCGAACGCCTTCATTTCAGCGACGTGGGGCGGTGAGTTCCTGCTCTTGAATCCGAAGCAGTTATCTGGCGCGTTGCTCCCATGTTGTCCGTTTAGGAGGAAGAACGCCTTCCATCTCATGCGTCTAACAACTGATTCCACCTTGGCTAGCAGGTCCTTCCGATAGACTTCATCCGGCGGTATCGGGATGTTCTTCAGTGAACAGTCAATATGCACCTAGGGTGCTCCTTTTCGTCTTTTCTGGTATGTAAAGGGATACTGATGTGAGAGAAGAGAAAGTTGCCTGAAGAGTGCACTTGCACGAAACTCAGAGTAGCAACACTCCAAAACTTGGAAATCCTTTGTGTCTAAGTGTATTCATAAATACTCAATCTGCGGACAGCATGCTGTTTCGTTCTTTGTGAACTCCTCAGCGCAGCACAGAGAAAATGAGGCCGAACCTGATAGCAATGAAAATAAAATTTCCAAAGCCAGTTTTAAATCAGGCCCGAACGTACCTTGCCAGAGTGCTCAAACTGACAAGTCAGTGAGCTCTGCGTAATGCAAACAGCAAAGGCACTACCCCACATGAGAGTGCTCAACTACTACAAGAGCAGGAGCGAAAATACTCAATCTGCGGACAGCATGCTGTTCCGTTCTTTGTGAACTCCTCAGCGCAGCACAGAGAAAATGAGGCCAAACCTGATAGCAATGAAAATAAATTTCCAAAGCCAGATTTATATATATACTCAATGCTGCAGGCAGCCAGACTGTTTCGGCCAATGAGGCCTCATCAGTGCAACTCCGAGCTTAAACTAGGATTGAACTGTCAGCCCTATAATATAGATATGCACATACATGCACACGCACACGCACACGCACACACACACACACACACACACACATTTGTACTTGTTGCTCACTGCCAAAACTGGTCACGTGGGTCTCCCCCACGTGACCAGTTTTGGCAGTGAGCAACAAGTTTGGCAGGGTTGGCGGGAAGCGTGTGTTCCTCCTCGGAACAACCAACTTCATCACCAATACCGCCGAAGTTGCAACTTCTTACTGGAGGCATATGTCGGTAAATCCCAACGCAATGCAACACCAAGCAGATAATTAGCAGGCCTAGAGTTATGAAGCTCAAAGTAACCTCAGTGTACCCCCCCCCCCCCCGCCCCCGCCTGCCCCAAACTCTTCAATTCTGAGTCTTGGTAAGTCTATGTGTACATTGGTGTCGGTTAATAACTTATCAACACCCAGCATGCCTGCACCGCATGCATGCTGTGCACGATTCTTACTTGTCCACTTTGCAGATGTAAGCATTGCAGACGGGTGATGACGGCTAAGATGGAACAGCATCTAAGCTGCCTAACATCGAGGCAAGTGTCAACACATTTGGTTCTAATGTGGCTCCATTTACTTTGCTCAGTAGGACTTTTTTGTGTTTCCCATTAATATTGATCTGGTTGAGAGCATGATGTGCATACATCTCTCAGAGAAAGTACAAGCATGGTACATAGGGCAAATATATCCAGAGGGGCTCCTTCTGTTACTGTAGAACGGCTAATTTTAGCGGGTAAAACAATTGGCAATTGGCGTTTTCAGAATCAGGACCCATTCGCACTTTCATTCGAGTGGAACAGTTTACAAGACGAGCATGTGTCTAGTGCTTCTTTGGCATATGGGTGTGAGGATTTGTCACAGCTCCTTAGAATACCTCGTGTTTCTGTGACTTCATTCCCTATAGACATTTGCTGATAGAATTTGACTACGCCATATTGAAAACAACATAATCACACCATCACACCAACCACGTGTCGACCTAGTGCTACGCTTGGAGTAAAAGTGCCGACTATGGATCCCCTAAGCCTAAGACCAGGAACACTGCAAGTGCTAAAATGAAATTGGCAATTTCTGAAGGTAGAAACCAAACACAGCCCAACAAAGTGGTCTAGAGATTCAATGCCAACCCTCCTCTACCAGCGCAGCTCGCTGTGTCCTTGTTTGCTACTAGCACGACTGTGCGCGTGTATCATAGCTTGCTCCTGTTGCCATGACGGAGCGGGGGTGTGTGGACATGAGTGAAAGGTCCCAGGAACACTGCTTGCCCCGTACAGTGTAACATGGTGCATTTTGCCACATGTTCAGCTTGCCAAACTTCTCATCATGAATATCCACGGACTTCTTGCGCCTTCACTCAGCTTCTCGATAGTGGAAAGTGATTTGTGTCTCTGCCATTAGCATGCTAACGCAAGTTAGCAGCCAGCCCAGCGAGCTGGCCTGATTTGTGGGCAGGCGCATTCCACGCAGACATGTGCCCATCAAGATCCGCAGCGCGATGTATCTTGTATTCTTGCTCGTAGTGGCACTTCCAGAGGTGGGAGATGCCACGGTTTCTTTGCCATAATCAGTAGCTGAGCAGTATGTTGACACTGACCAAGGTTTTCCTCGCTTACACAGTGGCCTACTTTTCTGATAGGATAAGAATACTCCCACCCACCTACATCTCACCAAGGTAACCACAGGTGGAGAATTCGGAAGAACTTGGGAATTAGGTCTGCTTTTGGGTAATGGAGAAATTTGTAGGCTGGTAGTAGTAATAGTAGTTTGATTTTACTAGAGGAGTCCCAATAGGCTACTGCCTTTTTGCTGGGAACCCTACGTGAAGCTTAAATTTGTGTTTGAACAGAGCAAACGACTGGGCGTGTTGAAATTCACCTGGAAGAGAATTCCATCTGCCTGCCGACTGAAGAGAGATAGAGCGCATGCCATGCCGCCTAGAAACAAGTTTCAGAACAAAGTAGGGATGTGTTGCACTCGGATGTGGCAGATTTGTGATGCCAGCTGGATAGTTTTGTAACTGGTGTAATTCTATGTCTGGGCACTGGTTGTATCACAGTGCAAGAATGTGTTGTATCACAGTGCAAGAATGTGTTGTTGTTTTTCAAGGGAAAGGGGACATAATATACTATCATGTTTTGGCTAATTGTTCACCTACATAACCAGATCATGTACAGTCAGCAAGTGCGACAAAAAGGCACAAACTGACGGGGAGTACTGAGACATTTCACGACCTGACACCTACATTGTGGCTTCAACACTTCTCCAAGGCGCAAACCAACAACCTTCCAACTTGGATGGCTCGGGTTAGGAAAGGTCCAAGAGGAGAACGAAAGCGCAACAAAGAAGAGCACGAGCTAAGCCCCATGGCAACAAAACCTTGTACTTCGAAGTAGAAGTGTTGGAGCTAGGTATCGGGTCATTGGATGTCTCAGTACTTCTTGTCAGTTTGTGCCATTTTGTCGCACTCGCTGACTTTACATGTTCTGGTTACGTATGTTGACAGCTAGTCATAACTCATAACATTTCGTCCATTCTTTTAATCCATGTACATGTACCAGTATACTATCAATATGGTTATAAGTAGAATATACCGTATTTTCCGGGGTATAAGCCGCACTTTTTTCCGCTAAAAATCGGACCAAAATCGCCCCTGCGGCTTATACACCGAATATGCTTGCGCGAATGAATGCTTAGCATACATCAGTATGCATGCTGATGTCATGTGACATGTCATTCGACTCGGCTTCGCGCCTGTGTTGCTGCTCAGCATCAGTGGCAGCGAGACTGAAGATAGTGCAGATGACATGGAGTGATCTGTAGTCAACACAGCAATACACCAGCATCTCTGCAGCAACCTGTGGTGCACTAACACTTCATAATCTGATCTAACATGGTATTTACCTCCATAACCATAATAAATTTGTAGAAAGGCCATTTGTCAATGAGTGTGAAAAATCTTGGTTTGTGGGTGCGGCTTATACTCCGAATACCAACTTTTAGTCAATATTTTGCCTCAAAAAGGGGGGTGCGGCTTATACCCCGGAAAATACGGTAGGCCATTTCCAGCCACTGGCTATGTGTGCTGTTCTGTGGTGCGCTAAACGGGCGGAGCACGGAGAGGTACTCTGTGATGTGAAATTGAAGATCTTTTTATGTTCTCTTCCAGGATTCGAATTGGCAGAGATGGTGGAATTGTGTATCGGCACGAACGGTGGGTGTAATGGAATATACCGTGTGTGTTGTGTGTGTGTGTGTGTGTGTGTGTGTGTGTGTGTGTGTGTGTGTGTGTGTGTGTGTGTGTGTGTGTGTGTGTGTGTGTGTGTGTGTGTGTGTGTGTGTGTGTGTGTGTGTGTGTGTGTGTGTGTGTGTGTGTGTGTGTGTGTGTGTGTGTGTGTGTGTGCATGCATGCATGCACGAGTGTTTGTGCAGAACATTTTATTGTACTGCAGCTGCATGCACAGAAAGATTATAGGCAAAACTCTCTTAGCAAATACCCTATGGTCATGGTACGGGGCCTTTGTGTATACACAGGTCAGCAAAGCATGCTGCAATTTCCTAATTTTGTAAACACTGGCTCACATTCTAACTCTTGGTGGTAGTTTATAGACAAAAGGACCAAGGAACTACAAGTTACGCTATAATGTCCACTAACACCACCAGTTACTAAACAATCAGCTCATGCGATAACATTGCACGACCGACGGTATTGACGTTCTACAACTAGCTGGCTAACAGCTCTACAGCTCTAGCACATCTTGACTTCACCTTACCCTCTTATGTTATCATATTATCTTAGTCCCTTCCAAGTTGGAAGGATGTTCTGTGGAGTGCGCATCCAAGATGTGCTAGAGCTGTTAGCCAGTTACTTGTAGAACGTCAGTACCGTCGGTCAGTGTCGTGCAATGTTATCGCATGAGCTGATTGTTTAGTAACTGGTGGTGTTAGTGGACATGATACGTAACTTGTAGTTCCTTGGTCCTTTTTCTTTTCTATAAACTATCCTTGGCTCTCCATCCGAGTCCATTCTTTGTGGTAGTTCTAAGATTCACTGCCTTTCTCCTTCCGTTGTGTTTGTTGTCCAGGTGTGACGAATGGACACCAAGCAACTACCTGCACCTTCTCCTCTCCCGCTCTGTTCAATGGAAGCAGATCTTCTGGAGGTAAGGCCATCCAAGCGGAGCTTACGGGATACTTCTTCATTGGCAACCGAGACATGGCAATAACTGTCCGGATTGAAATTGGTGTTTTGCCTGGTGTAGAGCGCCAGATGTTTTTCTGTATGGTGGTATTCCCCGAACTGTCTTGGTTGTCTGGTCAGGAGCATTATGCGGAAAAGGGGTTTGTATCGAGTGTTCGGTATCCAGAAGGTAAGAACCAACACAACACGTACACAGACACAGATAGACACACACATACGCACAAACACACACGCGCACACACACGCACACACACACACACACACATGTAGCAATGAAAGAGGCTGTTCAGGTGCATGGACTTGCACTGGTGGATAAGGGAGCGCCACAAAGGTGTGTAGTAAATTTACGCAGAATGTTCAATGGCCGAATGCTGCCACTTTCCCTCTTGTTTGTGGGATAAGAAAGTCACGTAATTGAGCGTGTTCAGCCTGAGGGGTGTCGGTGAACATGTTGTACAATACATACTCAAGCATGAAAGTATGGATGGCACGGAGCATGCCTACTGCGTTTATAGCACATAGCACACAATGAGAGCTGTGCACACACATCCATGCAATAGTGTACATGTACATGGCATGAATTTCCCACGTCATGTGCCATTTCGTGTCATGTGCCATTTCGTGTCATGTGCTATCTCGTGTCCTGTGCTGTTCGCTGCAGACTATGGGGCCACTTGCACCTATTCCGCTGCGGCCAGTGCACAACGATATTCACAGCAGCCGAGTGTCGAGTGCAGTGCTTACGCCGTGCCACGCGTGATGTCTTATCGGCGGCGGGTGCAGAGAAGCAACCGAGTGGTGATCAGGCTCCCAGCTACGACTATGTACTTGACTGTCTTGACAGGCCGCAGGTGAGAGATCAGCATACTACTCTCTTGACTAAAGAAACCCGACCAACGTGCCGGAAGCAGAGTGAAGGCTCATGCGGGCCCATGCGGCCCTCAAATCGGTTTTGGACCGTGCCTGATGTGGTTTAAATGGAAACGGGGTGTTACTCTAGACTCCTGGGTCTGTTTCTGTGGCCACAACGGTAGTAAGCAACGGTAGCAGGTTAAGGAGGTTCGCGACGGTTAGCGCCATGTTGGATTTCCGAATTTTTTTCTGAAAAATAATGCCTTTCGGAGTGGAAAAATGGGACGCGATCATGCACAGAAAATAGTTTGACCATGACTTCGCAGTGCTCGAGTCGGGACAAGATTTGAGGAAGAAGCTCAGCCACTAGTGGACTTGCGGATTTGTTTTGACATTGGCGGTTTTTGGATAGCTCGGTTCTCCTGCCGACGTGTGCTGGAGATGAAGACGCGGGAGAGTAATCCGTCACCCACGACGCGGCCTCTCATTCTGCGTACTGGACGATGCAATAAGCCGAGGAGGGGGACGCTTCGCAAACTCAAACGATCGATCGAGTTCCTGAAAAACGGAAAGGGCGATCTCCATCACTAACGCCACTGGATTCGACTCCCGCGAAGAGGTCGTTCAGTGCCCCTCTTCACGGTCGACGAATCGTTCATCTCAGGTATCTGGCTGTGGGATTGTCTGCGTGCCAGAATCCTGGATGTGGCAAACCTCTGGCGCTCATTGATTGCGTTGAGGAGAAGAGGTACGACCTGGGCAGCGTACTTGTCATTCCGTGTCAGCAGTGTGGGATGGAGAATTTTATAGATACAGATAGCCCTGTAACTGCTCAACACCCTGGCCCCCGTGCTTCCACTAGCAACACCAAAGCTGCTTTGGGTAAGTGCGTTTTTCAATCTCATAAGATTTACTCATGATATTTGGGAGTCATTGCCACCCTATGGCTATGGAAATGTATGAGCACACTGTATGCGCGGCGGCCGCGAGCGTCTGTGTGTTTGCATAGACCTGCATGTTTGTGCATGTGTGCACCATATGCATGTATGAACATGCACATGCATATGCGCTCATGTGGACGTGCCCTCGCACACATACTATACACACGTGCATGACCGCTCCCAGGGCATGTTGGTGTGACATGTGTGGCGGGCATCTCCACTCATGCACATGAGTGTGCACATGCATGTGGGTGGGTACGCACACGTGCGTGAATGTATGTGTGTGTACGTGCGCGTGTGTTCTATTGCGTGTGAGAGCATGCACGTGTGTGTGTGTGTGTGTGTGTGTGTGTGTGTGTGTGTATGTGTGCACGGATGTGTGTGTCGATGGTGTGCATTTTTGTGATTGGGGAACACTCTGATCCCTAAACCGCGATACCGGAGCTCCCAAGCTACAGCCTCAGATTGATTTATAGTTCATCGTCGGGAATGAGTTCGCTGCTCATGATGCTGTTGCGGATGTTGCAGCCCTAGCTGAAATTGTCGAAGCTCGCCCTGATGCCAGTATCCTGTAGCACTCTGTCACTTTTGCATCAGCATGTTCGGCGATGGAGTTTGCAGAACATCAGCAAAAGCGGCTGGCCACCCTTCAACAGTTGGTCCAAGCAACGTGCTTCTCTAAATCAGTTGCTGTGCGGGCAGCTGCCAGTGGGTTGGTGATGAAGCACTTTGTCTTGTCCTACAAACGAAGTGGTGAGCCAGCCATTTCCAGACTGATGAAGGAGCAAGTCGGAGGTAAGAAGCGGGTGACAGTCTCAAGGAAGATTATATTAGTGGTGGCTGAACACCTAGCGAAGAACCAACAGCAACCCAACTCTAAGGAACGCCCTGTGGCACAGTGCTTCATTTGTTTGTGCGCACCGTAAAATACCATCATTTTTGCCAGTGTGGGGACACGTTCTAGCTCGCATAGTTGAAGAACAAGAGGACTCAATGTTGTCTGATTCGTTCCAACATGTCAGCTTTCATTGTAGTTTGATATGGGGCTGTGCTAAGCGCTATCATAGCTACATGTACATGTATCACAACCAAGTGCCAACAGGAGAGTAATCATGGAGAAAAGTACCTATCGATAATGCGTGCACCCAGGGTTTTCCGGCAAATTTACTAGTTCAGCTATTCCATCCTTGTATTGTTCTGAACGCCGAGGGCTCTAGTGAGTTTATGCAACACCTATTAACAGCCAAAAATCCAATAAGTTATGACCAAAGCAGCAGCAGAGAAGTACAAGCAATATAGATACGTGAATTTACCAATTTTAGGCAAATTTTGACAGTTTTTTGGATTTTTCTCCAGAATATGCACGGTGACCCCTATTTTCGCCGCGGTAAACCTGTTCCAACCCACTTATAGAACGTGTTTGAAGTATCCACATATGGGGCAAACTCAAAAATAAGCTGCAAAAAATATTCAAAGTTTCATTTTTTGCGTCTTTTTGTTCTTCTCCAGGAAATGACGACCTGGATCCCATCATCAACCAAAGTGTACATTTTTCGGTGTTGATATCATCTTAGTCAATACCTCGAACAGTCTGTAAAATTTTATGTCATATTTTCTCTCCTAACTGATGTTATGGTCGATTTCTCATCAATTTTGGGATTTTGTGTTATTTTGTGTCATCAAGGAAAATTGTGTTTTTGGCAAGACCTATTCGGGCAATTGAAAAACTGATGTTACTAAGCGAAAATATAAGGCTGTACCTATTCAAACCTGATGTCAGATTGGGCTGATGTTGAAATTAAATTTTTGGGGCTAACTGTCCCGAACCCCCTTAACCCATAGTACTGCTGACAGGTACCAGCCTTGGTTTCATGGATGATACTCTCTTATTTTATTTTCAAGCCACGTCCAACAAAGTCCGCAGCTCTCCCTCTCCACCTGATCAGACTAACTGAAGTAAATCTGGTGGCACATATAATTATAATGACGGTCACCAAATATGGGACAGCGTCATGGAAACCCCTTGCCATTGTGTTCGAAAGCGCAACCATTTGCTTTGAAAGCACTGTCTACCAGTACTCAACTCCAGAGCACGACTCCAGTACTCAACTCCAGTACTCAACTCCAGGGCACGACTCTCAGGTTTTTGGAGATACAGCTGGCCCTGATGCAGTAGGAGTTCACATGTGCAGGCATGCTTCTGTGCAGGCATGCTTCTGTGCAGGCATGCTTCTGTGCAGGTGACCTCCTCTTTACCAGCACCAAACACGATGTAACCGAAACCTTGTCTAGCAGACGTTCAAACAGCTGAAGCAGGTGGTGCAGTCAACTTTGCAAATAAAAACCTCGGTTCTAACAGCAGCTCGCGAATAATGACGAGGACTTCAGACTCGGTAACCGCATTGACATCGCGGACATAAAGAGGGTGGTTATTTGCAGGGGGTATGTGATGGTGGGGGGTATGTGATTGTGTCTTTATATAGTGTACTTGAGTGGGTATGCAGAATATCCTCTGCATGATCTTGTAACAAGACTGTTCTAGGAGAGTGTCTTGGGAAAGGACTGGTTAGCCAGAGCAACTAACAATCTCGACGCGACCCTTATCCTTGTTTAGGGACTGTCCCACGGGAATCATGTACCCAAGTACTGCAAGCACATCAGCTCTGGCTCCAAGCCAGTCGCACGGTCATGCCATCCACTCCACGGGTCGGCAAGCAAAGTAGAGCTCCGCAGCCAGAGCCTGTCTCGGATGTCTGCGCCTCCATCTGCATCACTGGCGACAACCCAACCCTTGGCCAGCCAAAGCGTCACGAACACATCCCGACCGAGACCAGAAACTAGCCAAGCCAGGAAGGACTGCTCGCAGCGTGAGAAGAATTTCAACGAAGTCATGTTGCTTGTTGAACAGCTGAAGCAACTAATCTCTCCATCTGCAAATATGCCAAAATGGTGAGCACCGAAGCATGCCGTGACTTCAACTGGCTTTGATACTGTCATTCTTGATGACACTAGTAAGAGTGGATGTGCCAGATTCTTGGCTGTATCCGCAAAATCGTGTTGTGCTTGTGGTAATCCCATATTGTCATGTATACAGGCCTGGCTTATTACTCACGGTAGAAGCCGATGTCAAGGCTACGCTTCAATTCAAATCAGGCTTGTCTTCAAACCTGATATTTCTGTGCCTGTCAACATGGTAAACAGGCTTATAGGCCAGCGGTCCATCTTGGTCATCTGCCTTGTATTCGAAACAAGTTGTGAGACAGGGTTTTATACAAAACGGTACGGTACCTCCCCCCCCCCCCCCCCTCCACACACACACGCAGGAGAGATTATGCAACTTCCATCTCGTGGAACTCGGTTCCATGGATGAGTTCTGAAAATTCACGTTCTATTCCATTTGCTTCCAACAAAACACCTCGAATTAATCTTCGTGTGTTTGCATGAAAATTACTTCTTGGCGAAGTATACTCGGGAGAGCCCATAGACAGTCACCCTGTAAAGGACAATTCCATTGGCAGCCATTCCTCCATTTGTCCCATTTTTGGAGGAAACTTTGAAAACCGCTGTCCCATCCGTAAGTGAAGCTGCTGTGCAAATGCGATGTGTACTTGTTGTACAGGATGGTGGATAGACCGTCTGCAACGTGGTATCGAGACTGCCTGTCCTACAACCCTGACGCGGCAGACAATCCTACCAAGGTCAGATGCATGCCAATACCTGGTCACTTTTTCCACCTCGTGTATTTGTGCAAGGCTTTACTACGAAGATTACGTATGCACACAGGAAGGGAGAAGGTGGTCCTGGTCCTGTTGCCAGTGACTCGTGTCATGTGACGGTACCCACAGATAGACCCAAGCGGCGTAGTGGAAACTAGCTCTGTGTATGAACTAGTGCTACATTCCACCAGTGAGAGTAGCCAATGCCCTGCTTGGTTTTGGGTGCAATGGGAGGATGGAGAGTGATGGTACCATTGTACAATGTGTTTCCCTTTCCATCTCAATATTCTGATTAATCCCTGCAGACACATGCTAAGACCAAGAGGAAGTCTAGGCCAAAGAGTGTCAAGACCCTATCCACGTTGAAACAGCAGCCTGCAGCAGCAGCATCTGAAAAAGCACGGGCAAAGACACAGGAGCCGGCACCAGCACCATCATTGCCGCCATTTTCACAACCAGGTTGGATGAAAATGAGTGGGCTTGGAAAGGAAGACGGTGATATGGAGGCTGAAGGTGAAGATTACTATGAAAGCAGTAGTAGTGACGAGCCAGGTGAGTGCAAACTGAAGGCTGTAGGACTATTATTAAAGGAGGGGTATCGGTAGGTGTTTCAGGCTGGTGCAGTCGGCCATCTCTGAAGTACCGCTCCGGGGCCCTCCCGGGGATATGTTTTCTAATTATATTGTGTAGTCAACCCCAGCACTTTTTCAGGGACAACCACTCTCAACCACTCTCAATCACTCTCAACCACTCTCAATCACTCTCAACCACTCTCAACCACTCTCAACCACTTTCTGTTGTAAAAGCTGAATTGATGAAGAGGTCTTCTGCTCGAAGGGCACCTTCTGGCATGGTGGTGGCGGTTATAGAAGTATATTCACTTGCCCGGAGACAGGCAAAGAAGCCCAGGAGAAGAGGTCTTCTGCTCGGAGGGCACCTTCTGGCATGGTTGTGGCGGTTATAGAAGTGTATTCACTGGCCCGGAGACAAGCGAAGAAGCCCAGGCAAATAGCTCCCCATACCATGGCTCAGTCGGTAGCGTTGAGGTTAGACCGAATCAGGGCATTGCGCATAGCTGCCATGTGGGTCCATAAGATTGGCTTACTGGCATTCTTAGTTTGGTTAGCCTCTGCGTATTACAGTCCTTGAACCGTGAGGTCCACTCTTCGCGGAGAGATCTTTGCCGTTTTCTTTGGCAATTGTCAGGGTTGTACTGGGACCTTCCCCTTTTTCGGGTTGACCGGGGAGTCCACGTCGTGGCAGGCTGCAAGGGTGCGGTCAAGCTGGTGGATTCCATCCTGTCCGTGCTGTTTAAGGGGGTTATGCGTTATGTTGTGACAGTGATCTGTGTGTGTGTGTCCATGCATGTGTCCATACACATGTATATATGTATGCGTGTGTGTGTGCGTGTGTGTGTGTGTGTGTCGCCAGTTGTGTGGATTAGACAGTTATCTGGCGCAAGTCTTGATCTGTCTCATTCAGATCTTGTTCGCTATCGTTGCTATAAGAGAAAATCTGTGGGTGCACATCCAGTGCATTTGCAGATTTGCGTGCTTCTCTTGCGACAGGCGTATACATGGTACATGATTGATTGTACATGGTGTGTGTGTGTGTGTTTGTGCATGTTTGTGTGTGTGTGTGTGTGTGTTTGTGCATGTTTGTGCATGTTTGTGCATGTTTGTGCGAGTGTGCGTGTGTGGGTGGGTGTTCAGTTGAGGCACAAGCAGATGTAGGTGAGGATAAGCCCAAACCACTCAAGCCACACATACTGGCGAAGAGAAGGCGAAGGAATGTTAAAAGGTAAGACTCATGCATGCCTGTGCAGAATCCAGGAATGCACAGTCCCTGCAAATGAAACCCATTGTCCATATATAGCGTTATTTTCTTCCGATTATTATGTTCTTTCCTTTTTTCTTTCTTTTTCCTTCTCTTGCCATGGCTGGCTAACGCCCCCTCCTTTGCATTGACTTCTGCCATTGGACGGTGAAATAAAATAATCGCAACCAGCATTCTCATCCTTGTCATCCCACTGTTCTACGCTGTGGATAACGTTTAGTTATGTCATTTGAGGTTAAATTGGGTAAAAATTCCTTCGCTTGTCATACTGCTCTCCGTTGTGGATAGCAGTGTTTGAGTTTGCCCATACGCTGATGACGAAATGTAACCATAGTGTCACTAACCTTCCTCCCTTCTTCAAAATCAACGCTCTATCCAAGCGAGGGATGGTACAAGCTATATTTACATTTTCAGTGTTATCAACACACTGCTCTCCATTGTGAATACAAGCGTTTGGGTTTTCCCATACGCTCAGGTTGATACCAACATGTCTCCATCTTTCTCCTTCCCTCTCCGGTCTAGGTCTATTTGCCTTGTTCCACTCCTAGAATGTGACCCTGTGCATGACTGAGGAGACCATAGCATGTTGGTCATTGTTTGAATTGCTTCCCTGCATAGGTTGCCAGGCTACCTGTGGATGGAAGAACTCACTTTGCAGCAGAACCTCGACTCTCTGAGAGAAAACGGTGAGTGGAGAAGGGGCGAGTCGACAACCCTTCTCTCCATAGCTGTATTCGTAGTAGGAACATTTGATGTATGGACGACGTCGCGTACTATGAGCCAGTGAAGGAAACGCTGCATGCACTGCATGCAACGCCACATGATCCCGGATGAGTGGCAGGGAGAGTGCAGTCTGCATTTGCGCATGAAAACAATAAGTTCACACCCATCTGGCTGAAACGGCAAGACATCTTTCTTTCCTTTCTTTTAAAATACGTTGAAGTACATGTAGAATAGAACACATGGGAACGTGTGCTCCATTTTTATATACTGTAAATATACAAATTTTCGGCAGCTATTTAATTTCGGCTATATTCGGCACCGACCCAAAACGCCTAAATTAAAACGCCGATAAAAATTTTCACAGCATCTGTTGCAATATCATGCCCTCTACCCCACGCCGAAAATAAATCGCCACCGAAATGTCAAAAATCGTGAATAGCCGAAATTTTGCAGCGCCGAAATTTTGTATATTTACAGTATATTTTATTATTGGCTCGGTATCGGAGTTAAATTCCTCTTTTCTCTTTTCCCAACTTAAACTCCCTCAACCTTATCAAAATATTCTTTGCTTGCTGTTCAAACCAGGTGGCTAGTGCTGCACGGCTTCCAGCACCAGGATCATTTATGGACAACAGCACTACAACCGATTTGTTTAAACTTCTGATAATACTTTATGAAACCAAGGAAATCAGTCTCCTGAAAAAAATAGACTCTCTTTGCTGGCGTTTCATACGTTCTTGCCATGCACTCTGCATGGTTCAGATGTAGGCGCTTGAGACTTGACACATGCAGGCCTCGTGCCTCTTACGTCAACCTCTATTGCCACAAAGGGTGGTGTAACAACTGGGTTGTTGGATGGTACAATAATACTGTGTTCTGCGTACATGGGTGAACCGACTGCACTATTCCATGTAAAACAGTTGCTTTTGAACGCCATCCCAGCAACATTCAGTTGTACCTAATGCAATGGTGGTTGGCTGCTCTATATTTCACTCGGTCAGAAATTCTGCTTGGATCCAGACAATTTTTTTGTTTTGTATTTTGTTGTAGATCAATTTCGCACGAAGCGCTTGAATGCCCAGCAAGCTGACTCTACTACTGGGCCTGGTGAAAAGGTATGATTGCATCTCCACACTTTCCCACTCCATGATCCCCTAAGCAACAGTACTGCTATTGTCTCTGCAGCTAACTGCAGTCTCCGTGAAGTATCACTGTTACACACTATCACTGGACATGTGGTGGATTGGGCGAAGCCAAGGGGTCCACAAGTTCCCAGCAGACGGACAAGGAGCAATACATCAGTCGAACTGTGTGTATGACGTGTATTTAGGGTTCCTCAGTAGACTGCTGCTCTAGCTTTCATTCTCCTTTCTCTGCTGTATAGAATGCATACAGACACCCAACCTAGTTATAATAAGCTGCCACTCGTATTTCAATATAACTGGTACCATCCGCTTACGCTGGATTCATCCAGTATCAAAAGTTCATGCAGACAATCACTCACGCTTTCACTTCATTGCTGTCACGGTTGTCATGGCTGTAAAGTATGAGACCTTGCATGCCGCCATACCAGTAGAACCCAATATTGTTGAGAGGGTCTTCACAAGACAAAGTCATAGCGCCAAATGCAAGACTATGTCGAGTGCATTGCATATGTGTATTTGCCAAAAATGGCCGCACATGTTCCGTTCGGAGCGCTAGCAACTATATCCAAAGTGAATTCTGACCATTGCACATCAATCCGGGTGAGGACTAATGTCTTATTGTCTTTCTCAGCTTACCATCGTAGTGGCATGCTACACTTTTGGGGTTGCCATGGGCTGTTGCCAAGGTATTGGTAGTATGCCTTGTACGATCACGTCTAATATTTATGGACACCTTCATTAGCCCCTTAGCAACAGTATAGGGTACGGCTTTAGGGCAATGTTAGAACAGAGGCCATGCAGAGGCTGAGTATGATGGTCATACCGGTAGGACAGAGGTCTATGCAAGCTATCACTGATGCTGTCCTGGGATAGGACATCAACTGGTGATATTCTGTCATCATTATCATGTAATACAGCAGCAATCACGCCCTGTTCGCGATGCCTTGGGGATATATGGACGTCTCAGTCACCAGTTCCAAGCCCTTCAGCGTCAGAAGTATCTTCAGCACCAAGCACAGCAGCAGCAACAAGCTGACGGGTGAGTTGTTGTAGTGACGTTGTTCGAATCATACCTGTTTGAAAGTATGTGTGTGTGTGCTCAATCTGCGGACAGCATGCTGTGTGTCTGTGCGCATGTGTGCACACACATTATTTTATGATCTTGGTTTATGGTAGCGAGACTCAATTTGGCCAGTTCTGATCACATTAGGGTACCTCCACTCTAACACTCAACATACGGTTTCTTTGCTGCATACATGTACAAATGTACGTCATTTAAACTGTTCAACAAATTTCCGGGCAGGGCCCATCATGGGGGTTGAAACGGAAAAGAAACCTGCCCGAAAATTTGGTGAACAGTTGTTGATAACGTATACAGCAGAGAGACCAAATTTTGAGTGTTTGAGTTGAGATACGCTAATGTGTAAATGGCTGCAGTGGAGTCTGCGAGTGCAAAAAAGTTCTGATCAGCCTTTTAAGTGGAATTGTAGCTGTTGGGGAGCACGTATGCATTTACTGTTTATGCTGAACTACTCCCAGATCTCACTTGCTTTATGTTTGGGTGTCCCTGTATGACTTAAGCACCAGTTCCCCAATAATTGTGAGAGCATCTTCCCATCTCTTTGCTGGAGAAAATCCAGCCTTCAAAACCGCAACCATTGTGCTTGGGTGAAGTATACTGATTCAATTCAAATGATTCAACATGCACACTTGAGTAGAAGAATGCAAAATGGAAATTGTTCTAAAGATCTAGGCTACGGTGGCTGGTGTTGTGTTCTCTTAAAAAACCAAGCCGAGCGAGGAAGGCAACGTGATCTTAAAATCCATGGCCCGGTGCATTCTTCACCTTCTACATTCAGTTGCTGCAGTGTAGTCTCACCATTCAGCAGGCTTAACACGACGAACATGGAATTGTGAAGTGACCACTCTGCTGTGCTAGAGTTTTGAGTTTTGATTGTCACCGAGTGCATGCTACAAAGTGTGTGCATGGTTGTTGGACTGCACAGCATAATTATAGGGCTAGATGCAAACAGTTTAGCAATTCGATCTGAGGATAGTGTGTTTTTCTTAGGAACAATATCTCGTTTCTGATGCTAATATTTGTGTGCTGCTTTTAGAGCAAGGCGCAGGAAGGCCAGATAGTAAACGTTCTAATCCGGCATCTGATGAAACACCTTGAGCAAGGTGCATCATGCGCCAATCTTCTACTTGCCACCTTGAGGAACCAGTACCTGCATTCTCAGTTTTACTTGCGCATTACTCTCTCTCTCTCTCTCTCTCTTCTCTCTCTCTCTCTCTCTCTCTCTCTCTCTCTCTCTCTCTCTCTCTCTCTCTCTCTCTCTCTCTCTCTCTCTCTCTCTCTCTCTCTCTCTCTCTCTTACTAAATGATTTGTATCTGCTGACCTTTCATTCAGCCTTGCTTCACTGAGAAATAATCAAGTCACGATCCGAACAATTTACAGGGGGAAGGCAAAATGCAGGGTGAAATATCTGGTGATAGCAGTACGTTTCCACGGCAACTGCAATCAGTAGAAGGTCTCCATTGTCAGCTGCCGACAAAGAAGCTCTAAAATCTCATCACAAATCACCTTTCCGTGACAAAACGGCCAGGTAGATTTCTCCGAATAGTTTGCCAGGGACGGGGTGAATATAGAAAACAACAATTTTTAAATACTATAACTATGTCATATCTGTGCTCTGACCAGAACAATTTTGATAAGAAATAATTTATCTGCTAGATGTGACAATGTTGTGTAAAGTGTAACGCAAGCACTCCTCATTCAGTGCCAGGAACCTACAGAAATAGTATAATTGTGATATGTACAGTGGTTTAACACCTACAGAAATAGTATAACTATGATGTATACAGGGGTTTAAAATTGCTTGTTGAGAGGAGGTGAGACCAGTTTACGCGGTCTTGCGTCGCCGGTAATGAACGAACGGGTTAGTCGGTGTGTGGATCATTGTGCGGAAGTTGATTTCAGGGAAGTAGCCATCCACTAGCTCAAACTCGTACATCTGCAGCAGGGTGCACCAGATGGTCTTGATTTGCACATAAGCAAAGGACTCGCCAATGCAGCGGTGTCGGCCTGTAGAGAGAATTTAGAATTTACTTGATTTAGAGTTTGAAATCCATTCAGTGCCTGAGATTTTCTTAATCCAGATGGAAGGGTATACACCCCCCCCCCCCCCAGAATTGTTTGATTTTCTTCGAGTTTGAAATCCATTCAGTGCCTGAGATTTTCTTAATCCAGATGGAAGGGTATACACCCCCCCCCCCCCCAGAATTGTTTGATTTTCTTCTCCGATAAAAATTTCCAGCTTGTTTCTCCTTATAAAAGCAGATACAACAAGAGTTCAGCCATCAGCAAGCTAAAAAAATAGCTGAACTCTGAGGGCGGTGGACGAAGGAGAAAGAAGCCGGATTCTACAGGAGAAGAAAATTTAAAATTCTGCCATCCCAAACCCCGACCACCATCCCCTCCTGGAATGATTACTTTTATAGCCTATGCTGGCTGTGAACCTCACACCTGAAATGATTGGTCAACCAATCAGAGTTTTATCCTCTTGGCTTTCTGATGGCTGAGGAGAAAGAAGCTGGATAATTCTACCAGAGAAGAAATCTGTAATTCATTTCAGGTGCAGATTTCAGATCCAGGATAGGCTACAAAAGTAATTATTCTAGGGGATTTTGGATTTTCTTCTCTAATAGAAATTCTCTGATAGAAATTTCCGGCTTGTTTTTCTTCAGCAAGCCAAAAACGAGAGAGCTTGGAAGCTCAGGGCCCTACGCTATGCTTTTTGGCCTTGATGACCTAGACAAAAATATAAATTTTCCATTTTTTTTTAGATATAACCTGGGATTCTAACCCGCACTATCGCCCTGCATGCATCCCCCGATACACTTCGCATACATACTAATTCTTCCAAGTTGCTTCACGTTATGATCTTGCATTTGAAAGCCCTATTTGAATATGCATTGTGGCGAGCCGTCTTTGATGGCACGGTACAGTACGGGACAGGTACGGTCGAGGGTAATACGACACCGTCTACCGCCTTGATGACCTAGGCAAAAAAAAGCATAACCTGGGATTCGAACCCGCACTATCGCCCTACATGCATTCCCCCATACACTTCGCATTCATACTCATTCTACCAAGTTGCTTCACGTTGCTTCACGTTATGATCTTGCGTTTGAAAGCCCTATTTGAATATTGCGGCCAGCTGTATGTGGCCAGCTGTATTTGATGGTACGGTACGGTACGGGACAGATACGGGATAGCGCCAGGCGTGACACAAACACACAAACACCAAATTAAAGCTGTGTGGACCCTGGCTAGCGCCATACGTTATTGAAGTAACGTCTTCTGCATAACAGTTAGCTACGGGAATAAACAATTCCTAAACTCTGATTGGCTGATGACCACATGTCAGGTGTGAAGTTTCAGGCTATAAAAGTAATCCTTTCGGGAGAGGGGTTGGTGGTCAGGTTTTGGGCTTTTTCACACACGCACACCTGCTCAAAATCCCACCAGGTGGACAGAAAGGGGTCAAAATAAAAATTTAATAACTTTCGTTCCATCAACCCAAAGAAATGCACAAGAGCAAAAGCATGGAAACTTGTAGACTAGGCTAATGTAGCCACAGGGACATTGGTATTTTAAGTCAACAGGCAAGGCTCTCTATGCCCACTTTCCACAGAGTCCAAGTAGAGTCCTGGCCAGAGAAATTTGACGTCATGAATAAAACGGCACAGGACTCTTCCTACATGGACCTAGCCTGTGCACTCGAATGAGGTGCTACTTTACCCGAATTCCGCTGACCAGCACCAGTGAACCAGTCCCCTGCGTATCTACAGATGAGGCCTGACTACATCCTACAAGCGAGGCTCTCACAAATCGGCTGTGATTACAGAGTGAAAAGGGTCTCCTGCATCACCGATGCGTAGGGGCAATGCAGGGTCTGCACAGATGTAGTCCATCCCAAAAAGGGATTTCTTGAATATTCATTAAAACCTGGACTTGCAACCTGGCCGAAAAACGTTGATTGTCTGACATGAAGAGGGAGAAATGCATGGACCCTCTGAAGAGGTTCACAAAAAAATGCTTTCAGGAAATGTTCAGGTTTAAAACATGTTTGTGTTAGAGGGTCTATTTCTTCCTTGTCAGGTCAGAACAATCAATATCAGCTTTTCAGCCAGGTTTTGTGTATTCAGAGTTGGTTTCATGCACCTCAATGTACGGAATGGAAAATCCAATCCACTACGAATTTGAAACCTCGCTTTGGGGATTGAATTCAGCCCAAACTGCGAGTCAAATCACCAATGTTTATCATTGAAATGGACTGTGAGAATCAGTCATTCCTACTAAACTTACCAGCTCCAAATGGCACGTAGGCAAACTTCTGCTCACCCTCCAATCGCTCCATGAATCTGAACAAAACCAAGTCCAAAGCCAAGAAAATCATGAGCCTATGCCGGTGTTGTACATGTGGTCGCGCTTGTAGCTCTGTGTCGTACATGCGGCTGCGCGGGTGTCTCTTTGTCGTACATGTGGCTGCGCTTGTGTCTCTTTTGTCGTACACGTGGCTGCGTATGTGTCTCTGTGTCGTACATGCTGCTGACCCGTGGTACACGCCGCTGCGCTGTCTTGGAATGCTTTGTACATGCCGCTGCACCGTCTTCTGTCCCCTCCGTATGTATGGAATCGAGCATGAGTACGAGGACGAAAGTGCGGAATCGGAGCCCGACGCGCGCTAGCGCGGAGGGCTCCGATTCTAGCACTTGAGTCCGAGTACGAATGCTTTGATACCATTTCTGACATGCATTGCACGAACTACTTCGTACTACTAGTACTACTACATGTAGTACTTCACACATACCTAGTACCTACTCAAGGCACGCACACTAGACCAGACAAGGAACACAACTAGTCGCCAGTTTAGTACTTCAGACATGTTACATAATGACTAATGTACACAGTCACAACACAGAGATAAAACAAGGGCGGTCTAGTCAGCTAAAAACCAGGTCAGTTCAGCTTCTCTTCTTCGCAGTGACTACAGCCTACAGCCTACAGGTGCAGGTGAACATTGCAGTTTGCACCAAACTGAGCTCCGGAAAAGTTGATGGTCTTCGTAGCTTTCTGCATCAGAGACCGCTGGTGAGTTGGGGATTGCACTGTTGGGTCACAAGTTGCGATGTACTCATCAATGTCGGGATCGTGGAACTCAGTCTGCTGCTGTGATCGCTGAACGCTCGTTGTTGGCGCTGTAAGAGCACGGGTAGCAGCATTGGTTGCAGTTGGAGACTCTCCATCCAGAACTGCAGCCATCTCTTTTCTCTTTTGTTCTGAATTCCTGTTGGCATATGCGGTCAACGACTGGACCTGGCGATGTCCCGTCGTCCCCATGATCGCTGTCTCCGACACGCCCGAAAAAAAAAAAAAGCGGCCTCTGATGGCTGAATCGGAGCACGCCTAGGCGTGCTCCGATTCAATCGGAGCACGCCTGGGCGTGCTCCGATTGGAAAATCGGAGACCTGCAAGCGCTCACAGGTCTTCAGTGGCTGATTCAAAGCACGGCAAGTCGCGCTAGGATTCGCTGTTGCCATGTCGATTGTCATGTGACATGTCAGAAGCATTATTTCTAATCTCGTCCCCGTTGCATACACATTTTCTCGTCTTGTCTCCGTTGTATTTGTTTGGTTGCCGTCTTGTGTCCGTCGTATTTCCCCGTCGTTCGTCTTTGTCTCCCGTCCTGTTCAGGCCTTGTTGTACTTTGCACAGGCACCTCTTTAGTATCCCTCACCCCACTTTTTCCCCTCTTTTCTCCACGTCCCCATAATATATTCTCTTGTCCGTTTTGTTGGAGCGCAGTTCTCCCGTCACCTTACTGAAAGCAAGTTAGAGAAAACGCTCTCTCCCAGTGTGCACGAGTCTTTTGTTGTTGTGTGGAGTGGCGAGGAGAGCAACAGTTCGTCGGATTAAACTGACGACATATGTGATGATTACAGGGACGGATCCAGGAGGGGTTCCAGGAGGGGTTCCAGGAGGGGTTCCAGGAGGGGATCCAGGAGGGGTTCCAGGAGGGGATCCAGGAGGGGTTCCAGGAGGGGTTCCAGGAGGGGTTCCAGGAGGGGATCCAGGAGGGGTTCCACGGAACCTCCTACATTTCGTAGATGTACTACTGGTAACCATATGCGCGTGTCCATGTACTGTCGTGGACATTGAAATCCGGTCGCACGTCTAGCGGCCCCAGGGCGCTGGCCATGCAGCCGTGGGTACGTGGTAGGTCTACACACGTGCATTTATGCGCTGCAGCGCGCTGGTCGAACATGTGAACTGCATGCAACGCTCTGAGGGTGCTGGCCCCCGGTCATTCTACTGGATTTCCATGTCCACGACAGTACATATATCAGATATTCAGTTACTGGAACCCCCTGTCGAGATCGCTGGATTAGTAGAAGGCTTGCTCTCCATAGCTGTGGTGCTATCTACTCGCAGCTGCACACAGCTACATCACTACATGATAAAAATGCACTGAACTGACCACACTGTTTAAGTAATTTCCTTCCCTACCGTTCCCTACCCTGGCACAGCAGTTCAGTGTAACGGTTCAAGCACACGCATGCACACACATTTACACCAAGATTTTGATTTCTCTTTGATTTCTTTGAGTGAATTCCGGACCGAAGCACACTTGCATCGCCGAAGGTCACTCGGCCTTGACGTCCTGATCACTCTCTACAGCATCTGTGCATGTCATCAAACCATCTACAGCATCCGTGCATTATGTCATCAGACTATCTACAGCATCCGTACATGATGCATCAAACTCTACACAGCATCCTTGCATGATGTCATCAAACTATCTATAGCATCCGTGCATGATGTCATCAAACTCTACACAGCATCCTTGCATGATGTCATCAAACTATCTACAGCATCCGTGCATGATGTCATCAAACCATCTACAGCATCCGTGCATGATGTCATCAAACAATATACAGCATCCGTGCATGATGCATCAAACTCTACACAGCATCCTTGCATGATGTCATCAAACTATCTACAGCATCCGTGCATGATGTCATCAAACTCTATACAGCATCCATGCATGATGTTCTCAAAACCAATGCACACCGCTGATAGTGTACTTGCACATCGGCACGGATTCCACTTGCCTCAACTGCTCATCTACTTTCAATATTATTTTTCTCCACTGAAGACTCTTTATATAAGTTGCAACGACTAAAAGATGGGTGCATACGCCAAAATATCATGTCTTAGCTCCCAGGGCACGTGCTGCAATGCATGCACGGACAATGGTGGTATGGGTAGTCCCAGCTCGTGAATATACCATTTCCGGAATTGCACAACCCAGACACTACGGCCCGTGCTGGGTAGTGCAGCGGATACACACATACACTACGGCCCGTGCTGGGCAGTGCAGCGGATACACACAGACACTATACTAACTGGGCGGGGTAGTGAAGACCGCACTGCTGCACAGCTACATGTCCATGCAGGAGATTAAACTTCGCTCGTCAAGCACTGAACCAGTACACTAACCTGTCTGGAGAGAATGTGTTCGCATCCTTCCAGTTCTTCTCCAGACGATGGTTGATGGACGGCGACACACACACCTGCTCTCCGACTGGAATGTCAAACCCGAGCACTTTCTGCTCACAGAAACAAGCAATCGAACAGGTGCAAGCGGCAGGGAAATATTTTTTTGTGAAAGAAAAAGGAGAACAGGGCAAAGAAACTAGGTAAGATTACAACCACTGACTGCTATTCTATAGTACGCTGACTAGGAAGGTTAGCACCAAGCTCTCTCAGATATTCTTCCTCAGATACAAGCAAGCTATTCCTGAATGAAGAGTTCCCTCTGCAATGTACCATAGATTATAGAGATTGAAGGTCCAGCTTAAAACCGCTAGCCTTTCAGCAATGGATCTAGGCGATTCTTGCGCGAAAAAGAAATCTCTCCGCACAGACACAACAACTTGCAAGTGACGCATCATGCAGATCAACGGAAGGAACCAATGCCTTGATCTAGCGTGCGGCTTGTCACCATACCTGTGGGGTCTTCACCAAGCGCATGACAGTCATGAGTGGAGGTCGCAGGCGCAATGTTTCACGCAGGCACATCTCCAGGAACGCACAATCCTTCAGCTGAAGAGAAAATGGAACAAAAGAGTGCAGGAACGTGACACTTGTGATGACTTACAGCTGTAGAGACAAATTCCACAATATTGCAGTGTGTCCATAAGACATTGCAGTGTGTCAATAAGACATTGCAGTGTGTCAATAAGAACTACATACTTCAATGCCACCAACACCGTTCCAACTTCCTACCAACATGTGCTATTAATGACACCAGTTTTCAACACCATTTAAGATTTTTATTCATGTCTGAAAAGATCGAAAACCGAAAAAGTAAAGCATGTATTCGAGAGATGTTATTGAAACATGCAGGAGAAACATGGCGAAATGCTCCTTTGTGGAGCAGCTACTCACACGTCTGGTATGACCAAGCAAAGAGAAGACTATCGCTAACTACATCTACAGTAAGGGTGCACTTTCTCCTACACAGTACACACCCATCAATATCACTGGCAATCCACTCGCTAGATCCCTGAGACCGGGTTTCCAAGGTAACCAGTCTTTATATACATGTCAGTCTCATGCCGTGACACAGGCTTGAAGAGCCTCTTTGTGATTCCTATTACACTGTATCATGATTTAGTCAATCGTCCCTCGCTGTCTCTGTCTCTCTCTCTCCCTTCCCTTGATAATACAACATAGTCTTCAGGGATATTCCTATTCAAAGAATTCAAAGAATCCTGGTGGTGACAGTCAAGTTTTTCGTTAGACTTTTCCCGGTTGTGTCATTCCCTTAAACCAGTTAATATTAAAATATCGGATGGTGAGCCAATTAAATTATGGAAAAAAGGAGAAGGACAAAATGTTACGGGTTATGACTAACTGTCCACCAATGTAACCAGATCTTATACATGTCAGTTTTGTGCCATTTTGTCGCACTCGCTGACTGTATAAGATCTGGTTACGTTGGTGGGCAGTTAGTCATGACTCGTAACATGACTGTTGTCCTCCTCCTTTTTCACCATATTTTAAAATATCCCTTGTCATTTCCCCAGCACTAATATCCTTCCCAACCTGCCCATACCTCGCACCTGTAGTGTGAGTGATGGCATGTGTATTATCGTATCTCAACAATGGTGCCTAATGTGGGGCGTGAACCCATGATCCTGATATCAAAGGAATCTCACATTCAACCAACTGCATTACGCCTTAGTAGAGAAGCAGAGTCAGCATACTATTTCTTTATCCTCAAAGGATTTATCTTTCTATCCGCGTAATTCGTTTGCTCACCCCGACTAACAAATCAGTTGAGGGAAAGCCATGGCATTATGCCCGTAGAAAAGCAGAAAAAAAATGCCAACACATACCCCATCTAGAGACTCGCAGTCACCAACGCGCTCGTGAACTTCTTCAAAGCACTGGTCCTGGACACCAAGCACACAACCACACCATACAATACAACCATCATTGTCTTTTTTAAACAACACAGGAAAATGTGTACATGTCGGATCAGAAGTTGGATCAAAATAAAAATCTCCCCATTGCCGGAATTTCATAAAAGTGTGTGTTTGAAATTGTCTTTTTTAAACAACACAGGAAAATGTGTACATGTCGGATCAGAAGTTGGATCAAAATAAAAATCTCCCCATTGCCGGAATTTCATAAAAGTGTGTGTTTGAATAGAGCGAAACATAACGTTCCTCTGGGTCTATTTCCAAGAGGACTTGAAAGTGTTGACGCCAGAGGTAGCAACAGCCATGCAATAAGAAATGCATGTAGTCGAAAGAAGGCTGTCCGTTGACTTCTGAACTGACACATAATTCATAAAGAAACTTCTATTTTACATCACACATGTGGCAGAACACATGTAAGCCCGAGTATTGTTTCCCTGTCTACGCCTCTAACCTATCCCAGTGCTAAATCTAACGACATATGAGCCGCAATCAGCGAAAACGACCCTTAGGCTTAGAGGTTTCGTAATTTTTTCAAGAAAAAGGTCGATTTGTGACGTTCAACGATTTTCTGATCGCGCTACGAACAGCGCGACGAGCTCTTCTTGAACTCCTTGCTTGAATTTATTTGAAGTTAGTTAGTTGAAGTGGTGTCGAGTGGCGACTCGAGTGTTCCTTGATCTTGTTGCGATGGCTGCGGACGCCAGAGCTGCTCGCAGAGCACACACGGCAGTCATTGTGTACAGCTAGCTCGAGCCTGGTGGGGAGTGGATGCTGAAGTAGCCGCTGAAGTTCAGAGTGACGATGAGACGTCCTTTGGTTCCGACATCGATGTCGACAGCGAGGCGGAATCGCAGCCGTCATCTCCTGCTGCGTTGCGGCTCAAGGTGGTCGATGACTCGTCAGAGTCGGAAGATGAGGAGTCATCACCTGAGATAAATTCTGAGTCTGGGGCTAGTGACGGCAGCGACGTCGTGTCGTCATCTGCGGAGGAAGAAATGGAAGACATTGCGGAACGACTCGCAGGATGCAGCTGCAAATAAGTCGATCATGTCTCCGCACTCTTCAGCTATTCTTTGGCATTCTAGCTGCTTACTGCACTATTTCAAAGGTATTCAAGCTGCCTACCCACCTTAGAATGCTGAATATTTATTGTGCAGATACATCGTATACATACATTGCACCAATTTGGAGTACATCTTTTATATTGGTGTATACACCCGTTTTGAATCGGAATATTGAACTTTTTCTTGGCTGAGGTCCTTCAGTAGATGTGTTTCAACAAATTTCTAACCAAAAAGGAATTTTGAAAATTTGACCCTAAGGGCTGTTTTCGCTGGTTGAGGCCCATATAACAAATTTTGGGATCCACCCTGCACATAGTGAAGTAGAGGATGAGGTGAGTGGCGCCTCGTGTCACTTGCATGTGTGATTCTTTTTCTGTATCAGGAGTGGGTCCCTGACTGGGATTGCCCAGTCCAGTCAATACCGGTGGATGTGTCACTATGGTGTGAAGGAAAACCACCCAAACTTGTATGGATCCACACAAAGCTGATCCATAGGTCAGCGCTGTCATGACACCGGGCTGGCTGTGATGTGCCACTTTCAAGCCCTATGGTAAACTTCTAGTAATATCATCGCAGTGTGAAACAATATCTGGCAAATCATTCCTAGTTTTACATGCATGCACAAACATATGAACGAGTACATGTGGGCTCATTATCATGCATGAGTTTGTGCATGCACGCATGCATACACACAATCTCTCTTTAACTCTTTATCTCTCTTTCTCTCTCTCTCTCTCTCTCTCTCTCTCTCTCTCTCTCTCTCTCTCTCTCTCTCACACACACACACACACGGAAAACACATGTGTGCGTACACACATAAACAATTACACGCACAGATGCACACACAATCATACTCCTTTTTGCCCATTGCCGAAGTCATAATAATACGCCTGTTCTACACACCACCATGTGCACACCACACCCGTACCTGGAATTCTTTGTTCTGTGCCAGGTAGAATCCTAGCCAAGCACTGGTGGTGGAGGATGTGTGCTGACCAGCCATCAACAGACCAATCAACATGCCAGCAATCTCATCATCAGTCATACCACGCCCATCTCTACAAGTTGTAGATACAAGTAAAAACAAAAACAAAAATTATACGTGAGGGGAAACACCAGTCGGAAGGAGACTGATAAGTAAACGGTTTAGGAACTTCCATGCGTCAAACATACTGGTAGAGCTAGTAGTGTACTCCCTATATGCATTAGAATTGAACCGTTCCTCAGACTCAGACATGCCCATCGCGGAAGCGATGATAGCGAACAGCTATGTTAGACATAGCAACATGTGCTGGGATTACACCATTCAACAGCTTGCAAGGCTGATGAATTGACCGCCACTAATTTTAGCCTGGTCTACACCACACAGCTGATTGAAGTGGCCTTTTCTGGCCAGTGAATCCCTATTTTCATTTTTCCATTTTTTTACACACACACGCCACACCGCATACTCCGGCATACACTGGCTGTTGGTAACCACCCAGGAGAATGAAAAAAGAGCTAGGAGAATGAGAAAGAGAAGAAAGACGTGTGCGACCATAATCGTCAGGAATTGAACCCGCAACCCCTCGATTGGAAATCGACTGCACATACCACTGCACACACACACACACACACACACACACACACACACACACACACACACACACACACACGCGCACACACACACACACACACACCATACTAAGCAATGTCCTGATCTAGTTGGGATTGGGTAGGCTACAACAGACCCCAGTCCCAACGAACCAATTCCACGCACAACACCTAATCTACTCCTCAACAAAATGCACAGGCGTAACAAGTTGCAGTCAGCCAGCATCCCAGTTTGTCTGGATAGTAACATAGTACCATGACTTACTTGTACGTTGCATCCAGGATAGTCTGTAGCATGTCAGTGTGGCCCACTGTGCCTGAAGCAATGGAAGCCCGGCGATCAGCAATGGCCTGAACAGCACACACACAGCAAGCGGTGTATGATGAGACAAGGGCCAATACTTGAGCACATGGCAAAACACATGCTTGAACCATGTGCAGTAGGATGCAGTACACACAATTTCTATACAACTGGGAGGTCATGTGACAAGTCACTGGTAAGGTCATGGAATAGCACCAGCTAAGATTTGCGACATCGGCTCTAATTGGTGATGAAAGTGTCTGCTCCATACGTTGGAGCTCGCGCTGCCTGCCGACTGACTTGATACTTGACTGACTCACGACTGCGTCCGGAGCACACGAGTAGCCCGTTGAACCTTCCACTCGGCAAACCGGCAAGAAAGCACCGCTCCCTGCTTCGCAAGTATCAAGTCAGTCGGCAGGAAGGGTGAGCACCGACGTATGGAGCAGACACTTTCATCTTGCAATAGGTCAGATCAATTATGTAATACTGACGTGACCAGGGTAAAGACTCACTTGGAACATGTTTGGCACATAAGAGACATAAGACGCCTAGCTGAGACTTTGTTGCAAATATTTCCAAATGATGGTCCAAACCACACAGTCTCTGCAATCTTATGCCGTTCCTATCACCTCGCTGTTGTACTTAATCCATTGTCCATGTTCATTTGATTTTGCCTGTATTTCATCTGATGATAAGGCATGAAAGTATACTAGTGAAAACTTTCAAAGTGTTCAAGAGCCTGAAGTGTGTCCTACTTCTCAGCATCTCGGCAATCCATTACGATATAAACAGGCCTTTGTAGTAACTAACCTTATAGAAGATCTTCTTCATCTCCTTGTGTGCCTTATCACGCGTCCTGCATTCGCATACACATGCACACATACATCGTATTTTTGTGTCGTGGGGGACAGGGGAGAAGTAACATTCCAAATATTGCACACACACACACACACACACACACACACACACACACATACACGCACACTTGTAAATTAACCCTTTGCAGCAGAGTTAGCACTGAATCGGGTAAGATACTCCAGCACAAGTGAGGAAACACGTTCCTTTAGTAGGAACGAAACAATGTTGTCAGAAAAAATTGCAGCATCTGCAATGCCTAACGCTGAGATCATACCTGAAACTTGGCAGAGGCAACCAACCCGGCAACAGCCATGCTTCGTGTGAGAATCCACCATCCAGGTCATTGTAGAGTTGAGCAACATGCTCATCTAGGATACCACGGATTTCTGGTCCTAAACACCACCAGCAGATCAAACGGTGACAAAACAACAGCAAGGGGAAGAGAGGAGTAAACTGATGTACCACTGCCACATGTAACATGTATATGAAATGTCGTAGCTATCTCAAGACTAAACCCATAGGATGCGCATGTGTTGAGCTCTGGATAATGAAAGCAACACGGGCCGAGTCGGGTAACGTTTCCACGGACATCGGGTTCGGGTAATTTTCTTTTGGGCGCGGACCACACGAGTACCTATTGGGTGGTGTTACTACGGAAACATAATGCTTCACTGTAATATCAAAAGTCTGTCTCCTCTGGATGAATTTAGGCTCATTATTATCCTCTCCATAAGAGTATTCCTATGTGCCCAATATGGGCAAGTCAGTCAGATAGGTACAGTGTCATGATGGAAAGGAAAACAGGATGATGACCATGAAGAGGTCTAACACCAGTTCGGGCTTTGACAATTCATCTTACAAGTACCTTTGATACTGGCCGATTTGCTGCACCCCTCAGGAGCTGCATCTGCGCCTTGATCCTAGAGGGTGGTAGCGCTCCTACGGAGGCGGACAACTCAGCCTCCAGCCTAGTCTCACGTGAACCGTGATTTTTTGTTTTTTTTAATACCGGCCAGTATCAAGGATGCCCTTTTTATACTGGCCAGTATCAAGGGTGCTCGACTACCTGTGGACATCCCTACATTGTAGACAAGATGTGTGTTAAGTGGCAAGCGGTCTTCTGGTATTTGTATTGTATTGTATTTTATTATTTACTTGGGCATTCCCAACATGATTTGTGCGAAGGGATTCTGGTGCAGTACTATACGCTGAAGCTGGCATAGAACCCTACAATTATTCAAGCAGTTGTCCGGTCATGTTAGGGTTAGCCCTACATGAGGTGGAAATGTGAATGTGAACGTTCAAGTCCTTTTACCACTATCATCTCTCATTGCTGGAATTATAACACAGGTACCAGTGCACAGGTACCAGTACACAGAAAGCAGAAGGTGCCCAACAGTGGTAGATTACTTATCAGTAGCTTGTATCAATGATGTCAGTCAGACACAGTAAGACATAATCAGGCATCTGGCTGGTACTGACCATGTAGACATCTGCTGGCTGTGAGGATGATGAGCTCCGATAGAGCTTCAAAGAGGTCTGAACAAAAAAAGAGACGAAATCGAGATCATCTTACAATAGGCATATAGTGAGGGCATGCACCTTTCTTGTACAGTCACAAGCAAGAAGCATCGGTCCACTTGGGCCTAAGTCTGTATAGATATGTAGTGTCATTGCATTGCACCATAACATCCTAAGAATGCATGGACTGTCGTGGACATGGAAATCCAGTCGAATGACCGGGGCCGGCGCCCTCAGCGCGTACAGAATGTTGCAGGCAGTGCACATGTTGTTCCGATGCAACCAGCGTGCTGCAGCGCATAGATGAATGTGTACGTGTGCTCGTACCGCTTACTCACGGCTGCCGCATGGTCAGCGCCCTGGGGCCGCTAGACGTGCGACCGGATATCCATGTCCACGACAGTAGATGGTAATATAGACAATGCATGGATCAATGATTGCTTCTAAAATCACTCACTCAATAGTTTAAAAGGGAGTTGAAAAGGGAAAAAATCTGAAGAAAAAATTGACTATCACTACCAGCAATTCAAACAGGGACCTTCGCTTGAGGCCAGCAATGCTCGAACCACTGAGCTATGATATAGCTATCATCCCAGCAAGAAATGATACAGTCATACAGGTGGTAAGCCTATTTCCAGTACCTACCGTATTTTCCGGAGTATAAGCCACACTTTGAACACTCAAAATTCACCCCCCAAAAAGGGGTGTGCGGCTTATACTCCGATGATCAAATTCACGGTGACAAATAGTAAATACGGTAGACGTCTGTATTTTGTGGCAGAAAGGGGGAGGGAGGGGGGGGGGGCTTTATACTCCAGTGCGGCTCCTACTCCAGAAAATGCGGTAACTTTCCTACTTACTCTGTTTTCCCTGATCGCCCCACTTCGCAAAGTAGTCTTTGGTCTCCTCCACGATTAGGGGAACATACGCCTCAAAGCGGGCTATTGTCAGTCCAGATTTGAAGATACGCTTCTGCTCCAAAAAGTCCTGCAAAAACGAGAACATCAAGCATCATCAAAATGATTGTAATGATGCCACACAGTTTGCGGCTAGCTATAATAGCAAACACCTAACAATGGGGCAAGTATGAAACAGTTCTGAAATCAGGTTTGCTCCATCCAATAATAGTTTGAGCTAGCAGAACATGTACTGTATTCGTGCAACGCCGGCGGAGAATTCATTAATTCGACGGGTTCGCGTACCGGGCAGGTCAAGAACAAGGAGTCGTACAACTCCCTGGTCAAGAACCACCTTTCCGCTTCCGTGGGACGCCACCACCACCACCACCACCACCACCACCACCACCACCACCACCACCACCAGAATTCATTAATACAAATACAAATTAGTCTCAGGTGGAGAGCCAAGGATTTATTTATAAGAAGAATGGTGGACCAAAGAGCTACAAGTTACGCTATAATATCCGCTAACACCACCAGTTACTTTACACAATCAGTTCATGCGATAACATTGCACGACACTGACCAACGGTACTGACGTTCTACACCTAACTGGCAACCAGCGCTAGCACATCTTGGATGCGCACTCCAACAGCCTTCCAACTTGGAAGGTTCTAAGTTATACAAGTAGAAATAACATAAGAAGGGGAAGTACCGTTTGTCCGTGTCGTGTAATGTTATCGCATGAGCTGATTGTAAAGTAACTGGTGGTGTGAGTGGATATTATAGCGTGACTTGTAGCTCTTTGGTCCTCTTTTCTTCTTATAAACAAATGCAAATACGTATTAAAACTCGGACAGTGAGCCTATAGTAATAATTATGTAAAGAGAAAAGGAACTATAAGATACGAGTTATGACTAACAATCCACCAAGGTGACAAGGTAATATACGCATATTGTATTGACTTATGCACTGGCTGGTTGGGGGGGGGGGGGGGGAGCATACCAAACCATTGCTCTCCCTAGTTGATAGGGTTTTAGCCAAAGCGAACGTCGTGCTGCTACAACATATGGACCAATCACGGTCATCCGCGCTTTTATAAGAACGAAACGGCGTTTTTAGTGACTTTTTGCATACAAATCCCTATCTAGTAGGGCGCAGTCACCCAGTTTCGGTGGAAGTGTTCGAGTTCGATTGGCAATAAAGGAGGACGGGAGCGTCTCAGCTTCCTCGGACCAAGACCATTCGACTCAGCATCCCGAAGACTACAACTGGTGAAAAATTGATTTTAGGGTATACTTCCCCTTTAACTATTTCAAGTGAGATGCCACCCTTGTTGGCAGACAGGCAGAGCGCTGCATAGTGTCAAACAATAATACCAATATGGTGAAGGTGTAAAATGGAAGTACCACAACACACACACACACACACACACACACACACACACACACACACACACACACATATACACACACACCATTGGACCATTGGACGCCCATCGCACACACACACACACACACACACACACGCGCCATCGACCATTTGATGCCTATCACCGGAGGAGATGATAGCGATGCCACAGCAGGAGCCACAGCAACTTGTGCTGGGATTGCACCATTCAACAGCTTACAAGGCTGAAAGAATTGACCGCCACTATCTAGCCTGGTGTACACCACACAGCTATGAAGTGGCTTTTTCTGGCCAGTGAATCCCTCACATACATACACACACACACACACACACACACACACACACACACACACACACACACACACACACACACACACACACACACACACATACACACGATTAAAGAATGCAGGAAGACGAAGACCGTGACAGCAGAAGCTACGACAACAAGTAACATACCTGATGAGGGCAGTCGTAACAGACACCTTCGCCGAACACAGGTGTAGTCAAACGTGAATATACCTCCTCGGCGTTCAAGTCTTCATTCTTAGAGCTGAAAAATGTCGACACTGCATCCGATCCAACCAGATACGTGAAAGAACTGCCCATCATTTGGAAACGAAACACTGAACCATGCTGCGCATCAGTATAAAAACATACCATAGGCAAGAACATGTACATCACAAAAGGAACTACAGTCAACTTTGCTAATAACGACTGCGGATATAACGACAATTCGCGAATAACGACAGAATTTCCTCGCCCAGAGCAAAGTCCCATCTAACTGTAATACATACAAATGGTATAAGAACACTTGGCGAATAAGGACACTTTTCTGATGCCCCGCCAAGTGTCGTTATACGCAAAGTTGACTGTAGTCTAAATAGGGTCTCCGAGAAGTATCAACCAATGAATGAGGACAAGTACGCACCAACATAAAACAGGGCGAGAGGCATTTTGAACCTGTTTTCTTGGTTTGTATTTGAATGTTGCTTCCATCTATGGACACATTACGAGATAAAGGTTAGCTAATGCTAGGGGCGTATGTGTGTGTGTGTGTGTACATGCGCGCGTGTGTTTGTATGTGTGTGTGCCCAAAAGTTGGATCATTTTCAATTCCACCCAGAGTTTTGGGATATCGGGGAGTGTCGGCCGTTGGGCGGTTTAATAGCCAATTGAGTCATCTGTTGTGCGCGCGGCTGCGCTTGTAGCTCTCCGTTGTACATGCGGCTGCGCATGTAGCTCTTTGTCGTACATGCTGCTGCGTTTGTGTCTCTTTGGTGTACATGCTGCTGAATCGTGGTATACGCTGCTGCGCTGTCTTTGACTCCTGTGTACATGCGGCTGCACCGTCTTCTGTCCCCTCCGTATATGCACTGTCTCGTCTTGTCCCCATTTTATACGCACTTTCCCGTCTTGTCTCCATTGTATTTGGTCGTCTGCCGTCTTGGTCTCATTTCCCGTTGGGGACTGGTTGTATTACGCACGGGCACCTGTTTCGCGTCCACCGCCGCACTTTTCCTCACGTCTTCACAATATATTCCCTTGCCTGGTCTTGTATCGGTGTCAGTTGTCTCGTCGTCTCCTCAGAGAAGGAACTGAATAATACTCTCTATAAACTAAAGTAACTTGGCCTTTTTGGTGTGTGGCGCAGTCGCCCAAGAGGAGCCCAGTTTGTCTTGGTTTAGCTGACAACATTTGGCGCCCAACGCGGGGCTCGAACCCCTGACCCTGAGATTAAGAGTCTCATGCTCTACCGACTGAGCCAACATTCCCTTGAATCTCTCTCCCCTCTTCGTGGGAGACTCGCGTGACCAGTCATGGCAGTGAGCAAATACAGTACATGTGCATGTACATGTGTGTGTGTGTACAGTGAATTACAGGCTATTGCACCGTGGCATCATACAGCATTGAACAGAGTTGATTCTGGTACTACACCAGTACTGTTCTTTGTGCCGAAGCTGTTTGGCTGAGAGTTGGATTTGCCCAATCAGAATGAAATCACATGCTACTCTGGCGTACTGCCTCGCGTGTTCACCTACCTTGTCATACGCATCCAGCAGGAACTTGATGGGGTTCTCGCCAAACTTAATGGCACAGCCGATGAAAGGTACCGGTGATTTGATCTGTGGCGGCAGATTACCCTGCTGGAAAGCACAGCAATACAGGTAGAGATCTGTCATAGCGTTGCGGGTGTTTGAAGAAGTGTGATTTGATCACTATCGACAATTGTCACTACCCGCGATTGAACAGGGTAGTACGTCAACGTATGTAAGTGATAATTTTACGACTTAAGTCATTATGACATACACATATGTGTTAGGAACCAGCGGAATGAAAAATACCAGTCTTTCTTCCACAAAGACTTCCCAGCGGCCAGGTGGGATTGCGGTCTTCAAAGTGGAAATGGATCGTGAACATACGATGTCCCTTGAACAAGACCAACACAATGGATTCTGTCCACGCCACTTCGTTCAGGATTGCCCCTTGTGTGTGTGTGTGTGGGGGGGGGGGGGGGGGTGTATGGGTACATGGTGTGTGTTGGCAGGGGGGGGGGGGGCACATTTCACTTTCGTTCAGGGCAGGATTACCATTCCTGCCCACGGTTTGCTGGATATTGGCTGGTGACAATGTACTTCCAGGGGCTTCGCACACGGTACGGTCACTACGATATTGACCGTACAACTATTTGCCCCAAGTACCCCGTGATTCAATAAAATGCAGTGATTTGGGCTCTAAACTTCCAAAATTTTCGGCTCAGCCACCCTTCCTCCACGAGTAAATTGTACTTGAGATGGCTGACCGTACCACACTAAAATACCTTCCGACGCCCCTGACTACTGCATGTTACTATGTCCAGTCATGGCTGGAGGGGAAGCTAGAATTATATTTAGAATGCCTTCCAGTAGGTACTGTGGCTAAATTTGTCGATGTTCTCTACTGGTACGAACCTAGCCCCATTACAATAACACACTTTTTGTACACAAACATGACCTTGATGAAAGTCACAATCATGCTGGTGTCGAATTTACCCGATCTCGAAATCGCCCATAAGCTCTTGGACGTCCAGACGCATCTGTCTGCATGACTTTGTGCATGTCAACGAATGTTTAGTTGAACTATTTCATCAGCACACAGGATATACAGGATTCTGAACATTGCACATCATGATAAAGATTTTTTTTAAGTTTCCTTCATTCCACATTGCATATTGGAAGTCCCATGCCAATAATTTGGTGCCCTGTAAATACAGCGTTACGCGCACAGTGCGTCATGGGGACCAATGATCACACAAACACAACTCACGGAAGATCTCCTGCTTCTCTTGGCCAGCCATATAAACAAGAGGATCCCGGCCAGCGGCGCTAGGACGGTGGTCCAGCTGCAACAACCTACTATCTCCATTGCACGTATGCACACGATCCACGAACTCGACTAACTCTATTATTGTTACAGTAAATATCTGGTCGCGATACGGAATCACAGCCACTACCACCGCTTTAGAGCATATTGAAGTAGTTGTAAGTAGCTAACTAATACTAATTGCAATACCTGTCCAAGTCCAAGCCCATTGCGGCGTTCCTCCACACTGCTATTCCATGCCCACAGCGCTAGTGGCGGAAAAAAGCAACCAAGTGCATGCAGTCGCATTGCTGATGAAATCAGCCCATAATAATTATTGTGCTGGTCAGGTAGAGGCTGGCACGCATGTGGAGCACGCGTGTGTCGTACCATATCCGCGCGGGTAGATCTACCCTGGCCTGGGCCCTATCCATGCCTAGGCGCCTATGCCCGGCTGTGGACTGGTAGATCTGGTCATGGTATGACTGACTGTACTGTGTACAGTGTAGTCATCCACTATCGCGTGCACGATCATCAGATTCTTGATCGAATGATTCCTTGAAGGCCGGGGGGTAAGTCCCGTCGCTAACCCTTCTACATCTCCAACAGTTCTAGTAGTACTAGTAGTAGTAGTATTATGTACATGATTGTACTAGTATGGACCTCAACATCATTCTACTACAATCTGCCCTACAGGCTACAGCCTGGGTAGTACAATAAAATAAAGTCATGTACTAGTACTAGTACTAGTAGTACGTTTTCAGGCGACCATGCCAAAAATGCAAGCTGTCGGGGTTCATCCACATCAGGCACACTCGACACAATGATTCCACGACTTCCTCGCGTTGCGCATGAAGGAGCTCCATCATGATGTGGAGGTGGAGCCACCATTGCAGCCCCTAGCTGGCGAAACCTTTCACCATCGGTGGCGGTCAGCCAACACTGATCCTGATGACCGTGCCGACCTGCGGATGAAGGTATTCTGCACTGATAGCCGTAGCGCATTCTTCAATACATGTGTATGTACAAGGGTGTTTTATCTCCACGCGTCAAGCTATCGTGCCAAGTCTCTCCCCTCCGCCTCCCTCTACGGAAGGTTTGAAGGCGAGAAGAAGCGTGCTTACGGTGAACGTGTCAATGAAGTCCAGCATGGCTCCTTCACACCGTTAGTGTTCTCCTCCTGTGGTGGCACATACTTGTACTTGTACTTATACGTGTTGCTCACTGCCAAAACTGGTCACGTGGGTCTCCCCGGGAGAGGGGAGAGAGACTCAAAAGGAATCTTGGAAAGATGACTCAATTGGCCATTGAACCACCCAACGGCCGACACCCCCTGAAATCCCCAAACTAGGGTGGACTTGAAATGATCCCACTTATGGGCTCACCACACCTCAGTAAGTGGGTGAGGACAAGGTGCAGAAAAAGGATTGACGGCATCAGGGTATCCGTCCCGGGATCCAACTGCAGGTACCCCTGCCCCCAGTGAAGGTAA